CTCTTCTCCTTTTACCTCCAGTGAGGTTACAGGTATATAAATGGTGTGATAGGGTTGGATGAATACCCATTTCTGGTGGCAGGCATGAGCGGGAGTCCGTTTTCTCCAAATACCAATTGTGCTGAAGCCCCCACATCCTGGGCACTGGCACTCCTGGTAGCTGGCAATTCAACTGCTGTAAAAAACTGAGCTTGAAAAGAAGCTGGTGCACCTACAGTCAGTGCCACATTTTCTTGGGAAAGGCAGGTGGACACTGGGCTACCAACTGAGTTCTTTGGTTTCCTTCAGAAGTTTTCTTGTAACATCTGGAGTTGCACATCTGGATTGCAGTATTCCTATTTCTGATGCGTCATAGACTGTGAGTTGGTGGGTTAGTCCCATAGCAACATTTGGCACTATATACACAGGACTTCTCCACATGAGGCATATTATGCAGCATTATGGAGGCTTCTTCTTCTATTTTCTTTATTGGGGGGTTCTGTGCATGAGGCATTTTTTGTGCCTGTATGATTCCTCATCCATGAAAGTTTGCAAGGCTTTTTCATGGAGTGATGTTCCAGGGATTCTGGGGTGTGTGTGTGTGTGTGTGTGTGTGTGTGTGTGTGTGTGTGTTCAGAGCAAGGAAAGTCAGCCATTAAAATTCAAATTGCAAAAAGCTTAGGGTTTTACAAAGGAAGGCAGCAAAAGGAAAACCCCAGGAAAAACCCTGTGTAAAGGACCTTTTGTCCAACAACGAGAATCGAAGCCATATTAAAGCAGTGGGTCAAATCTCAGATGCAGAGAAGCCCTGGCACTACATTCACACAGTTTTTTCTCCTGTGGTTTTCTCTCTGTCTTCCTATATAATCCTATATTTTCCATTGCACAATTGCAGGTGGTGGCATGGCAAAGCTACACAAAGCCTATGTAGCAAATAATGATAGCAGCCAGGAAGAAAACTAACTTTGCTCACTCCAAAAATAAATAAAATACCTAAAAGCCACGAAAATGTCTGTAAAACTTGGGAGATGCCCTACAGGATGGTAACATCATGAAAAGACCCCGCTGACTACTTGAAGGATTGTGAAGACACATAAATACTTCTGTCCCTAGTCTCTTCCATATACATATGTCTCCAGCATGCCTTCCAAGCCACCCTGGCCCACTGCAGTTCTTATGCTGAGAAACTTATCTGATTCCTTTTCTGGCTTTTGATTCCCTTTTCACAAAGCATTTCTGCTCTGGGCTGAAACTGAGACCGCTTAAATGGCTGCAGTGCATGGCTCAGTTCTCCAACTCCTTCTTTCCTCCACACTGAAACCCGGGGAGGGGGGGAATTAATGGATAACAGAGAGGAGCTGGCAGCACCCAGGCAAAGGAAGAAGACTGTTTATGAATGAGTGTAAGATTGCAGGTCTGGTGTGTCTCCTTTCAGCCCTGTGGCAAGTCTGTGCTGTGCACTGCCTGTCTCTTGCCGCTGAGACTTGGCTGTTGCCATTAAGTGATTGGATTTGCCTGGGGAATCGAGGCGGCTGTGGTTGAAGCCCCAGACAGCTCCACTTGGGGAGCAGCAGCGCTTGTGGTGAAACTGAGGCTAGCTTGATGGGGTCCATTCCCTTCCCGATTACGAAGGGGACACCCAGAGTGCAGTGACTGATTGCAGGGAGAGGATCGCAAAAGGTGCTTGGCCTTGACATGCGACCTTGAAGACACTGGAAAGCAGAGATGGGGTGAGGCTACTGTTCCGTTCTACTGCGAACACGATCTGTGTGTGTGTGTGTCCTGCATGAGCTTTGTCCCCAGGCACTTGTGGTCTTTTGTACTACTGAGTGGGGAGCATGGGAGGGAAGAGAGACAAACAGATCAAGTGCACAGACTGATCTGGAATTCAAACCTCCCTCGGGTGAATCTAATTATCAGCCTGCACAAACCCAGTAAGGGAAATGATGCCCCACCAGCATCGCTGAGGGTTCCCCAGTCTCATGTGCAGCTCTGGATGAAGAGCAGACACAGACTTCTCGGATAGTGTATGTGTTAGATGGTGATGATAGTGGGCTGTATGCAGCGGTTGCAAAAACTAAGTCCCATAACAATACACTGGGTGCAAATGTGATTGGGCACTTCTCCTCCTCCTCTTCTTCTTAATAAAAAAGACATACTGAAAGGCTTCTTCCTTCTGTTGGGCCCTGGCCTCATCCTTGATCAAGGCAGTGGCTGTGGTTTAGCTATCTTGTCTGCAAGGCTGGTAAAACGATGTGGCTGCCACAGGTAGCTGGTTTCAGGTGCTATGGATGGGCAGGAAATTGTTATGTAAGGAATAGTATGGATGTTTAGACAGAAAATGGCCCATAACTCCTAGCTTGGGCATGTCAGGGGGGCAGACTGGTTTGCTAATTTGATGCTCTGCCCCAGCAAGCAAAAAAGCTTTGGCCAACTATGCAGGAGAGATTAGTACTATCAAAGTATTTGCAAGAAATGAAGAATCAACTTTTGTGGCATTGGTTTGGGTGATCTGAGTATTGCTGCTTCTGAGTAGAATTTATTTATTATTAATTAATTAAAAGCTTTTATATACCATCCACTCGCCTCACCTCAAGCAGCTTCCATGTAATCATATGTTGTCAAACCATGTCACCAGACAACTTCTAACAATTTCTCCACTGTTGGCATCAACCTACAGCTCCTGGATCAAGAACTGGTTTAAAGAACCTCCAGTAATTATACACGACTGCTTCCTGCCCCACAATTTGGCTGGGAGCAGCTGTTCGTTGGCTTTCCCATGCACGACTGCTAAGAAACATGCAGGGAAGGGATAGGAACCTTCAACCTCGTAGGACAAGTTCAGCCTTACTAGTTTTACCCTTGTGGCCTAGGCGTAACTCTTAAGGCTGTTTTTTAGCAGTGTGATTCGTGTTATGTCATGGTTTCTTTGTTTTTCTTGAGCCTGGGGTTTGTTTATAGCTTTTGAATGCTGTGCGCTGCCTTGTAAAAGGCAGGGTTTACATGCAATTTTATGTTCAGGGTGCAGTTGTGAAGCGGTGCCTTTGCTGGAGTATGTTGTCCTCACGTTGCTTGACCACCCATTATGCTTCCACTGGCCACCACCTTTGCCTTCTCCAAAGAGCTGGGCCACGGCAAGAGCCCTGACAAGCTAATGTGTATGGTGTACAGTCCTTGCAAACACTGACTGTACACCATTAACAATGCAATGTCAGAATTCAAATAAGATATTGGACATGGGCAGCTAAAAAGCTAAGTGGCCGTGGCTTAGCTTTCACTTGTGCAAGCAGGGACCTCTAATTTTCACCAATCTGCCAACTTCTGGCCCTCCGATGTTGTTGGACTGCAACTCTGATCAGCCTCAGGGAGATCAGCCCATATCGCTGGGCGCCCCTGAACCTCCCCTGTCTCCCACCCCACAAAAAAACCTCTCCTTGAGAAGTGGAGATCCCTGAAGAACATCATGGCCTATCACCCAGAGGACTGGAGTGGGCAAGAGAGGCTCAGCAAAATCAGGTGCCTTGATCTGTGTGAGCAGAAGCACTTTCCATTAAGGTAAAGCCTCCATCAGGTACAACCCACCTTTTTTAGGAACAGCTGTGCTGGCTCAGACCAAATATGCAGCTAGTCTAGGATTCTGTTTCTTATACTGGCTAACCAGATGCTTGGTATCAGCGAAAAATATGCACAAATCTAGCAAGGCCTGCTTGACTTTCCCTTTCAGTTTCTGCTTTTACTCTCTGCAATCTTCCTTTTCCACATCCCCTCCCCTCCAGTAGGTTCTCCTCCAAAGAACATCACCAGCACCACTGAATATATTTCCAGTCATGGTTTTTGGTTTACTCCAAAAGGGATGTGAGGCTCGAAGCAGACATGCTAAGCCGTATCCAGTCTGACACAGCCACAAATCTCAATCACACTGCACTAGTGGGAGACTCTTTAGCACAACCTCAACTGTGGTTGGACTGTAATGTGCTCTACGTGGGGCTGCCCTTGAAGATGGTCCGGATACTTCAGATGGTGCAAAATAGAGCTGCCAGGATGCTGTCGGGGACTGGTTCCTATTCTCACATAACTCCAGTCCTCCATCAGCTCCATTGGCTTCCCATTGAAGTCTGGGCTCAATTCAAGGTGCTGGTTATTACCTATAAAGCCCTAAATGGCTTGGGACCAGGATATCTAAAGGAATGACTTTTTCCCCTATATTCCCTCCCGTCCCCTAAGCAGCAGAGGCCCTCCTCCAGGAACCCTCTTTGAAAGAGGTCAGGAGACAGAGTACTTGGAGGAGAGCTTTCTCTGCGATGGTGACCCGACTATGGAATGCGCTCCCTAGAGGGGTCCGCCTGGAGCCATCATATGCTTTTCGGCGCCAGGTCAAGACCTTTTTATTTAACCAATATTTTAAAGTTAATTAATTTTAATGGCATATTTATTTATTTATTTCATTTTAACCATGTTATTTTATACTCAGTCGTGGTGTAGCCAATTTATTTATTTTAGGATTGGTGGGGTTTTAATGTTTGTAAACTACCCAGAGAGCCCTCTGGGCTATTGGGGTGGTATATAAATGCAATAAATAAAATAACGAATAGCGCTAGCTGGTATATATTGCATCATATAATATGTATATCATATAAAGATCTATGCATGCATAAAACACTGTAGGTTAGTACTAGTGCTGCATTCAGTATTGCCCCTATAAACTGCATCTTAAAGCATCTATATTAGTGTTTTATGCATTGATATTAGGTCAGATCCAGATTTAGTCACAATTACAGTAGCCCCCATTTAAGTCAATGGATCTTAGTTGTGACTAACTTAAACTCAGTTGATTTAAATAGGTCTATCCTAGATATGATTAAAACTGGATGGAATCCACAGTCTTAAGTGCACATAAAGAATGTTTCAATCTATCCTAAGTGCAGAGGTCTGTGAAATGACGTTTGCAACAATATTTTAGTGAACAATAGCTATTGCTTATTTATGTTTAATTCCCAACAAATAATACACTGGTATAAAGGTAAGGGCCATATATCTTTAATTTTTTTAGTATTACATTATATTCTTATAAAAAGGTGCAGATAAAAAGGATGCTACAGGTTTTGTACATTTAATTCATTTATAGTCTTAAATTGACCAACAAATGAGGAGACACCAAAGCATTAGAGGAGCAAGACCTTCCCCACCAAATAATTGGGTTTGTCTTAGCAGTTGTGGATAAGGATACTCCCTAGGCTCATATACAAAATTGCTTAAGCTGAGTTAGTTACCCCTTAGAATGGCAAGAGTCTCCCATTGATATTTGAGTGCTCAAGGATGGAAGACTGACAGCGGCATACACTTTTTATTTTGAACATGGGGTGTTAGTAAAGCCAGAATAATAAAGGTGGAGTAAAAATGTGGCCATGCGCATGAACCCAAAGGGCCAGTTTCAGCATAACATTCTTGTGCAGAACGTGGTGATGACCCTGGTAGAAGGGGAAGAAAATGCCGAGCTTCATCGTATCGGAGAAAGGAGAGCCGCTGCCTTTCGGCCATCATACACCAGAGGAGGCGTTGGGTGTGCCTGCCTCTCTTCTCCAACGCTGGTAATTGCTCTCCAACTCGGCTTTGAGACAAAGGATGCACCTAAAATGTGTGTTGGACTGGCACCGTCTCACCCTTTGGGCCTGACTTTTGTGCCACACTTGCCAAAACAATTGGACACTATTGGTATATTACATTAGTGAGGGGGAATGAAGCCCCTTTGAGAGGAGGGCTGGCCCTTTGGTGGGAGCATGGCGTCTCCCGGTGTCAACGAGAGTAAACAAATGTGCCCAGTCCTTGCCTGACTTGCCTTTGAACTGCTGTGTACGCCACTCGCCTTGCTCCTAATGCCCTGGTGCAGTCTCAATAGTCATGGCTGTAATGCAGTGGATACACAAAAATAGCAAACTAAAATAAGGCAAAATAAATAGAGGTGTGGCATTTACAGGTTTCCCCTAAAAACATTTCTAAAACGGTATTTTTAATTATTAAAACATTTTTTAAAAAAACAAATAGAACTGCATACATCATGTACATAAGAGAACTGTACAACTGCTTTTCCCTTCATGGAAACTCATAAGACATAAACCTCTTTCAATTGCCACTGGGTTACAAGTTGGGAAGAAAAAAAAGGTCCACCCAAAATCAGACTGGTGTGAAGAGCCACGCACCCCTCTTCCCTAGGATGAGCTCATCTGTCGCTTTTGCTTGCTACCTCGAGATACTGAACACATGACCAACATGCTTCTGGAAGACATGCAAATATAGCCTCTCTAATGAGAAATAAATCATTGAGCACTTGTGTTAGATGCTGGGGGGGTGACTCGAACGTTGCCCTTGTTATCTCCTGCAAAACCTGGAATGCCTTTTTTCGGATGGGTGTCTTTCTCTCCAGAAACACTCAACTGGCTGGATAAGAGGCAAATCCGATTTAAGAAAGGAGTTCCATTAGCCTGCACTGGTAACACAGGTAGCCTGCACTCTGTAACCCCTAGTAATTATTTCCTATACTGCATGCTTTGCGAAGCTACTCAAATAATACTTTTAAATATATGTGTATTTGGTTTGTAACATGACTGCATGAACAATAACAGAGTTGCTTGAGTGTAAGGAAAAGTTGGGGAACTAGATTCAGAAAGATAGGACATCTTGCTGCAGCCATTAAACTACTCCTGGGTTGGTTCAGTTGCTTGGTGGTCACAAAGACCTTCTAGAAAGTGCCAAGAACCATTATGAATGCAAAGAAGACTTGATTGTTTGTGATGGGTCTTAATGTTAGGAGAGATTGCCAGGAGGAGGGGGAGGAGGAGCATGGAGGAGGAGGCAGCATGCATGCACACACACGTGCATTTACACGCTACAAAGGGAGAAATGGGGGAAGGAGGACACAAGGCCTCAGAGTAGATCTGGCCAAGCTTGGTTGTATTAAGATCGCCCACTTCAAGCACAATTCTCCTTTTGGACAAAAGGCTCTTTTGCAGTGGCAACCAGCTAAATCAAGGAGAATACCCCCCTCATTTTCAAGCACCTGAGTCTTTGCTCTTCCTTCAGTTATTCCAGTTAGATGAGAACCAAAAGCTGCCCTCAGGTAAGGGAAAGTGTTGCTATCATGTACCACAGGCAATGAGTTCTTGTTGGCTTTTCATTGGCTGAAAAGAACCACAAGTGGCATTTGCCGACTGTAATCTCTGCTCCTTAGATTATAAGCAGGGCTGTTGGAGCTTTGCATGTTGTGGACTGCCTGATATAGGTAGGAATTGCTTGCTCTCTGTCTTGTGCTGAATTCTGCAGAGGGAAAGCTTTCGACTCCCTTTCTTGAGAGAGAGAGAGACAGAGAGAACGAAACACAAAATGTTGCAAGTGTTATCCGCATTGAAGCAGAAGTGATGGACCAATTCTTTCTTTGCCTTCTAGCTAGGGGTGGGAGGTGGAAATTTGATGCAAAGCAGCAGCTTCACATGTGGTGCATGGATGTAGTTCAAAGAGTGCTTAACACACCCAATCGAGAGTGTTGATGCTTCCACCGCTGTGACTCAGAAAGTGACAAGAGTAGAGGATATTAACAGATTACATCAGAGATTAACTGCCATTTGTGCACAGAGTTGCAAGAAGGTGCTCCTAGATAACATCTATGCAGAATATTTAAAGAGACAATCTATGTTTGGAAAACATGCATGTGATATGGCTTTCCTTCCAGTCAGGGGGGTCATATGTTTGGCAGACACTGCAAACACATGCAGGAATAAAGGAAAGGAGGCCATCATGGGGAAAAATCCTTCTGCCCCGGAAGTGACCCATTTAAAAAAGGCTTAGTCCAGATGCTAGAGCTGGGGGCAAACAGATGAATGTCAATGGCTTCTTGGAATTAGAGAGATAATCTAATAGTTAAAATGATGCTGTAGGCAAACTTGGTTAAAAAGTGTGCATTAAGGATACTACATAATCTTCTTAAAGAACTTACACCCTAGTCCACAGGGGAAAATGGATTTAAACTGATTCAGATGTGCTACATTTGTTTCATTCATCTATTTACAATACTTCTACCTGATTCTTCAGTCCAGAGTCACTCCCACAGTGACTAATGTATGCAGTTCCCACATAACGAGCAATTCCATAGCATAATGAAAAGAGGTATTAAAAGACATTTCCTGCAGAAAAATTCATGGGCACCTTAAAATATTAGAGGCAGTTTGACAGTACCCATGGTCTTCACTGGGATGGGATAAGCTGCACTATCAACAATATTCACTTTTAAAGCAAATTCTACTAAAATCAGTGTGCCTTATTTGAGTAAACATAGTTAGAACTGGGGTATTTTGCTCTAATGTGAGTTTGTGCTTTCCGTTCTATGGAACTCAGCTGCAATTATTGCCAAGACCTGACAATCAAGCTGTCCATTAGAGGTCATGGAAAAGTGAAACTTTCTTCCCCCACAGTTGTTCATGGAAATTGATTTTTTTTCAACTGGATGAGTGATTCCAATCTGGTGAAACTCTGTTACAAAAGGAATGAATCCTATCCTAATTCCTTTGTAGTTTTATATAAGGAACATATAGGTTGCAGCATGGTGCAGAAAAAACAACATCTTAAGCAATGCCTTATAAATGAATACAACAGAGATTAGAGTAATCCCCCGCTTTTAAAAAATACATTAAGTACACATTCAGATCCTGATCTGTGCCTAAGTCAAGATGACAGTTTTCTGTGGATTCTGTAGAGTATAGGGTTAGGATTTTCACTGGATCAGCTGTGCCGATGCTCACTCATTCCTATAGCAGCCTGAGAATACTATATAGGGAGTTAGGACCCCTGCTGAATGGGGCTGGCAGTATGTGGAGGAGTTGCAAGCATTGCTCATAGACAGCATCTATGAGGAACAGCTAAAGAGGCAATCTGTGTGTTTGGGACAAGCATGTGACATGGCCTTCGTTCCAGTCAGGGATTCACATGTTTGGCACACACTACGAACACATGCAGGGATAAAGGAAAGGAGGCCATCATGTAGTCACTGAAAAAGAAAAACCTTCTGCCCAGGAAGTGACCCACTTAAAAAGGCTAAGTCCAGATGCTAGAGATGGGGAAAGTTCTTCCCTCGGGCAAATGTTCTTCTATAGTGGAGTCCTTCTGCTTGCAGAACATAAGTTCTCCTTGAGACAAGCAGATCCTGGAATTAACTTATGCACCCCCCTAACCCCACAACCGCAAGGACTTTGTTTTCCACATGGCTGATAGTAGTACCAAGCCTGTCTGACAATCCCCAGCAGGGGATGGAGGAAGATGTAACAGCCTATAGCTATTACATGCTTCCTTTTATGCCTGTTTCCCTCTTGTGGAAAAAGCGCCTGATGTACAACTCTAACATTTGAACATAAAATCTCCTCAACTCTGTTCCACATTTAACATTAGTATGTGGGCCTCCCTTCAGGCTTTCATGGAGCATGTGGTATCTGATAACATTCCTAGGATCAATGGTGGGTGGCCTGCAGGCACCATTAAACATCCGGGCAAGGAAAGCCCTGCAAAGCGTGCGGTGGCACTGGGCTCTTCAGGGCACTGTGGGGATGTTTGTGAGGGAGGCTGTCCTGCCGCTCAAGCCTGGAGAAGAAGCTGCGTTCTCCTCCTTTGATCCATGCCTGGAAAGAATTGGTTTTGTGGTAAGAGCATTAGTACAAGATAATGGCACAGTCAAATCAACATAATCCAATTATATTTTTTTCTTCACAGTGCAGGGAGGGTGCAGACAAACCTGAGCTTCTTAGGGGACATTTATCCTTTCTAAGTAGTATCTCCAGAGGCTAGGCGGATGGGAGCCACACACAGGAGAAATGAAAGACATGTCATGGAAGAAAGACCCCTCAAAATTTATGTTCTAAAATGACAGTAATCACGGGATTTGGGTTTACAGCAAATTAAACCCATTTGCCTCCCTCTATGGTATGTATTGCTTCTAATACTTATGGTTCCCACAGTGCAACATATGTGGCATGCTTTTACATCTGTAACTACAGAGAGCATCAAGGAGCTTGACAATGCATCTAGATTTTCTTTTAAAATGTTTGTTTTACAATACAGAGGGCAAAAGTGCTCTCAAAAATATGAGCTTGTACAGCCTGCAGAAAAAAAAATCCTACTTAAAAAGCACTTGGGGCTGTTTGCAGTAGGATTGTCATTTCAATGCAGACACACAAAGAAAGGACGTGTTCAGCTCTTGGAAGGGAACCAGTTCTTCACCAGGAGCATAAAACAGAAGTGCAGATTTCTGGAATGTTGTGAGCAGGTTGATTCAGAACCAGACCACTCAAAAGACAGAAGATAGGTTTTGTGTTTATCTCCAGAGTTCTGAGCATTTCATTTCATCTTCCGAATGTGCCCAACATCCTTGCCCTGGAATTTTCTAACACTGTTTGCAAAGAACACTCATCGGACAGAGCCTGAGACCTAGGCACCTGTTTTTTACAGACTCAAGACTAAGCCTAAAATTAAAGCACTGCTGAGACCAACAAAAGCAACTGGCCATTTGAGCTTTGTCTGGATTCCTCACATTCCCATGTCTTGACCTCTCCAGAAGAGGCAGCTCTTTTCCAAAAATGGGATTACATTTCTATCTCTGTGCTTCATACCCAAGCCTATTGCCTGTCTTTTTTCCTATATTCACCTGAGGGAAGATGGCCAACTATTCACACTGAAAAGCAAAAAGAAGCTGTACACCATATACAACCATCAAAGCGCTATGCAACGGGAAGACAGCAGTAACCCGTGTATGTATGTGTGTTGTCTGTGAATGACAGTAACAATAAACTGTTTCTGGATTAAGTATCTGTAATTTTCAGAGATCTTTGGAAAGTCCACTGGGCCAATCCACCTTGGGGTCCACCTTGTGTTTGATTCTTCTTCATAGCTCTGTCACTTCCTTCCAGATGGAAAAGTGCTTAATACCCCAGCTACCTAATGATGAAGTGTATTGTCAACAGTTTTAATACTATTGTGCAGCAATTGCTGGGAATGGTGGGGCTTCTGAGAAGGCCAGCCTGTCTAAAGGTAAGCTCCAGTTCATTCCAGTACAGTTACGGCTGCCAGTGAATGAAAAGATTCTCATTTCCAACCACCAGACAAACTCCATTTGTCATTAAAAAGAAAAAAACCCTACCTTTCACCATTTTATCATGCTACCAAGGTGATGCAGATTTGCATGTGGAATTATTCTTATAATCCAACCCCTTTCCTACCACATTGCTCAGCAATGGCAAATGTACTAGTTTGGACCAATTTTGTGTATTCTTACAGTGCGGTTTCATTCTTTCCCATTTTCTCATGACTTGGCACATCCCTGAAGATGCCAATGATTCATCAGGGAGAAAATACAACATGAGTTTTGCAAACAGTTAATCCATCTCTCAAGTTGAACAGCTCCATCAACTTCCTCTGACGCAGCAACACTTGCTTTGCATGTTGTAGGCCGCTAAGTAACTGTCTTTTGGGTTAAAAAAATAAAATAAAATTCTCAGGCTTCAATCAATCAATGGCCTTTTGTAAATCCAGTGGAAGAACAGAAATGGCACACTGTAGAACCACTCCCCAGTAGGCTCCAGAAGGCCAGGCCCAGCCACAAAGTAGAGGCAGGAGGTTTCAGAACCAGCCTGAGACAGTCTTGCATTTTCCCAGCAAGAAGAATTATTTTGTTGCATGTGTACATTTTGGCACAGAGTAAACCATCTCTCCCTCACTTCAGAGCTAATAGGTACAGAAAACCCAATGGTATCTGCTCCACCACTAGGACCTAGATGAACTCGCTGGGACAATGTCAAGATACCATCTTATTAACTAAAAGCAACATCTTGGCAATAAATCCCTGGGCTCTTGGGAGGCACTTTTACAACCATTCCAGATTATGTGAATATGGAAGAGAGCAAGATGGGGAGGCATGTTCATCCTGCAAATATTAAACTAAGCCATGAGCAAGGCCAATCTTCCTGGGCAAAGACACTAACCAGTCCTCATCACCTTGCCTGACTCTGTTGTGGCCACAGTCTTCACTTTGTTATTTTCTATTATTTGTTCATTCTCCTCTTTTAGTAATTGAGCTTTGTCACCGCCCGTTCCCGGCTTGTCTCCAAATTTTGGTTTCCTGAACGCTTCCGGTTACGCTTGAGCTTTGATAAGTCCTTGTCAAAGACCTCGCCTGATCTCAGTGCTGACACAAGATCGTCGAACTCTCCTCCCCCCTCCTCGGAGATGCTGCCACCCTTGGCTTTCTTCTGTCGTCTTTCTTTTTCTCTCTGCTCCTTTAGCTGTTGAAAAGAAGAGGTATCGATATCATATACAGTACATGGTACACGGTCCATGATGTGATATGACCTAATACACTGACAAATGTGCACAGCGATTTAACCTTGAGAGTGGCTAGAAAAAGAAGCACCAGTGAAGACACTAAACACAGATATTTAAACTTCACCTTACAATAGCCACCTTGTGTTCTTTGTATATCAAATACTGGAAACTGAGGTGTACTTTCGCTGTACTCAGATGGCCTGCTTCTGTTCAAACAGGTACAACTCCACTAATCAGATTCTTAACTATAGAACAGATGGCTCAGAAATTGCTGAATTAGAACTAATCTTTAGTTTGATTCCATTTTGTTTGGACCAGAATAGAGACAATAGTTTCCTGTCTGAGTTCAAAGAGTAACATATGCAAACTGAGGTGACTGCATTATCAGCAGTTACAACTGTTGCAGTTGCTCACTTTGCAAATTTTAAGCTTTACTTAACTCAAACCATAAAAACATAGAAAACGCAATACTCCATTTTCCCTCCTCTCTCTAGGTCTGTGCACATATGCAAACCCCCTCCCAGAAATCTCCTGCCAAGTTATTCTAATGCTTTATGCCTCTGATGAAGTGAACGCTCTGCTACAAGAGGTTTTTCAGGTGCCAGATCACAGCAAGCCTACAAACATGGCTACCTACTGGCAGTCAAACCTTGTGAGGGTCAATCTAACCTCAGTAGATTGTAAATGGGAGGGCTTGTGGGCGATGGGAGATAAGTAAGAGAAGTGCTGCCTGACTCATGAGCTTTGAACTTCTGAGATATGAACAGTAAATTATAGTTGAAGTCACTTAGCAGAGCCATTGTGATGATATGCTTGAAATTCCAGACTAAGACCAAGAACCTCCAGGTTCAAATTCCTAGTTGAACTTGACTGAGCAGCAGCCTTGTAGCACAGGTGTGTATCAATATTGGTACCATCACAATAAGGTCCTAGGCCAGAATGGACTTTCAGGCCATGGGTCCTGTTCGGTAGGCTTGAATTCAGGGAGAAAGACCTGGTATCCTGAGCTAGCCAGTGTGAGAGAAGGAAGAATGATGGAATTCTTGTGGAGAAAAGGTCAGACATTAAAGAGATTAGGTAAAATAACCTTCAAGGAGGATGCCCTGAGACATCTGGAAATGACCTCATTCATAGCATCTAGCAAACACAGGCAAGGAACTCACTTCTTATGCAGAAAATCAATAGTTAAGGTCATCAAGAAGTAATCAGCAAACTCCCTGTGGGACCAGTGCCCCCCACCCTGGGACAGCCAGGTCCTAAGCCTCACATCCACACCATCCCCATGTGACAGTTGGAGGTAGGTAGAAGAAAGAACACACCCCTCCCTTCACCTGCACAGAGGTGTGAGAGTGTGACCTTGATTAGGTTGAATTCAGCAGACATAAAATCCCACTGACTAACTTGACTGGAATAAGGACTATATCTTTTACTCTCTCTCTTTGCTCTGGGCTCTTGGAATTTCTTTTCCGCTCTTCACCCATAGTGCACCCCTCCTTTGTTTCCGCCTCTCATTCTGGTTGTGCTAGCAATTCTTCTGCATTTCCTTGTGTGTGAAACCATTCATCACTATTGTGTGGATAAACTGCTGAAGCCAAGTCCTGGCATTTTGAAACATGCACAACTGTAAGCAAAGAGCAGAGCAGAACAGAGAGAGAAAGAAAGAAAAGCCCTCTGGAATTTCTTGGAAATACACTTCTCCCCACCACCATTTCCACTCCCAAAGCTTCCGAATTCTAAGCTGAGGCAATGAGGGAGGTTTTGGAAACACAGGGACTTGGAAAAGCAGCCTTCTTTCTTAGGAAGGCTGGAGTTGCCACAGCTGTTAGGGTTAAAGCAGTGGCAACATGAAAGGAGCCAATGGAATGCTGAAAAGCTGTTCTCAGGCTTGGAAAAGCAGAAGGTTAGAGAGAGAGGTTAGTTCACATGAATCCCCAGGGAGCCAAGCATCAAGGCACCAGCATAGGAATCCACATGGAGAACAAAGTGGTTGAACGAGAGCTAAAAGATCCAGCCCAACTGGGCCAAAAGGCAGCATACCATGGCCATGATATTAAAGACAACGATTAGGGAATGTGTTCCATTCGTTCCATGGCAGGTACCATCACACAAAGGGGGAACAAAGGATACTCTGTCCCAGCTGTGCAGATGGAGACCTGCAACTCCCAAACCGTTACATTTTTGCCAGTGGAAATCTGGGGGGTGAGGACAGGGCTTAACTTCAAGAAAGAAAACAAGAGCCTAAATGCAGAAGGATAAGGGATCCAGTCTTGGGAGAAATGGGGCTGCAAGAAAAAGTGGGATTTTCAGAAGTGAGTCTGACAGAGCAGGGATCTGGCAGTTTGGAGAGTTATTACAAGGAAAATGAAATGGCGTGGTGATAAACAGCTAAGACAGTAAGGTCTACACCATCAAGTACTGGGTCATGGGAAACCTGCAGTTGTCCCCCAGCACAAATGCCAGCCCCAAGACCACCACTTCCTCAACGTCACCAAGACTACCAAGCTGTAAGAAAAAAACTTCCATGCATATCAACAGGTGGTGCTAGACTGCATCTCTAAGAACAGAATACAACTCCTTACCCTTGGGGTTTCTCATACGTCATTCCTCATTCTTTGGAAACGCTTACTGTTTTGTAGATGATGTATATCAGCTATTCCCAATGTGGTGCCATCCAGATGTTTGGGATGCCAACTCCCATCTGGACCAGCCAGTATAGCCAATGGTCAGGGAGGCTGGGAATTGTAGTCCAAAACATTTAAAGGGCACTGGTTGGGAAAAGCTGATATGAATAATTATGTATTGCTTGCCTATTATTGTCAGTATGTAAAATGCTTTAGAGTTCCTGCACTTAGCCTTGCATCATGCCTATGGAGTAGGCCACACTGAAGCCCTTTTTACGAACAGGCAACTGAGAGTGAGAGAGAGAGAGAGGGGGGGGGGGGGGAGAGGGAGAGGGAGAGGGACCCACTTGCCCAAGACCACAAGTTGGTAAGTCTCTCACTCAACTAAAATTTGAATTGGGTCTTCCTGATTCTAGGCAGGTTGTTTGAACCTTAATAATACTTCAGATAGATTTAATGAACCAATACTCTGGTCTTAATCAGTTTCTAAAAACATTCATGGAAACTGATCCAACTGGGTAGCTGGCTGGCTGTATTGGTTCACCATGCAGAAGAGCCAGTCCTCAGGATTCTACCTCAAACCTGCAGGAGGAATTGTTTCATATTCCTCTGTCATGAATGAGGGATTCATGAGGGAACTGTTGCGCTCATCTGCTCCCAAGGCACAGCACTTTTAAGTGGTTGATTTTGACATGCCTGTCCCACAGCTGGTTATCACTGACCCTACCATATCACTTGCAGAACCTTAAAAAGACAGACTATTTGTTAAGCAGTCCTCCAGAACCTGACATAATGCCAGACTGGACTGGGGAGATCCAAGTCCCAGTCCACATCCAGCTGTGAAGCTCACCGAGGGACCTGAGGCAAGTCTTCATTTGTCATCCTAACCAATCTCACAGGGTTGCTGCAAAGGTAAAACGGGCAGACTCTGCTCTGCTGCTTGAAGAAAAGCCAGAATGTAAACAGAATAAAGACTATAAATATTGCAAGGGCAGGGAAAAGATTTTGACAATTTCAGTTCTACACAAGCATATACAGCCCAGACCCAGCCCAGACCTTTAACATAAACCAGGTTAAAAATAATCAGTAGTCAAGAGCTGTGACTTGCTGATAATAATGTAAGAGCTGCTTTTCTATCCCAGGCCATTTCTAGTGCCAAAGGCTGAAGGTCTGGCCTTGGGGAAGGTGAAATAAGAAGTTACTAAGGATAAACAATGGCATTTATCATCTTTTGGCATCTTATTTAGCTTTCTTCTTCATGTACTCCTCATGCCTCCTTTTACAAAGATACCCGGTCCTTCCTAGGATTAACCTCTCCTCTGAACACTGTGCATTGGAAACAGTCACTCTATTTCTCTATTGTCTGCATGGTACTCTTGCTGAGCAGACTTTCCCTTTCTTACTGTGGACATCACAGTATCGAAAGGCGGAGTGTACAGAACACCAATACATTCAGTACCTGGGGCAAAACCGGTGCATGATGCACAGGCAGTGTTTAAGGAAACGCCAAAAGGCAGCCAGGATCAAGCAGGCTCTAGTCAAGTAAAGGTGTAGGGTGGCTTGTTCAACTGTGTGCAGAAGTGCACAGGGACACAGTGGGAAGAACTGTGCCTGCGCACACACTGCTTTTAATTTCCCAAGGTACTGGGAGAGTCTTTGCCCCTGCCCTGCCCCACTTAAGCTCTCAAGTTCTTACCATGGCTTCCATACGTGACCTGCGTTCTTCCTCCTCTTTCTTTTTTCTCATATTCTCTAGATCTTGCTTGGCTTCTGTGAATGACTGCAGGAAGGTGTCAAAGATGCCAAAAAATTCATCGGGTTGCATCCTGCCCTCGGTCTCTCCAAAATGCTTCAGTGCTTTGGCATACTGTTAGGGAAAAGATGAAATACACAAAGCTGACCATTAGAGCTAGAAAGGAAAGACACAGATGTACAAATAAGTAGGATGCTGTAGGCTGAGGGAACCACACATTCATGTTTAAAAGATTTCAAGTGATGGGTTACAAACAGAATGTTATTGCCTCACTGACTGGCAGGAAGAAGTTGGGAAGAGCCCTTTGGTGGTTAGGATTTCTAATAGTTCCTTTAGGGAAGCATGAAGTTTATGAGTATTTTAAATCTGTGATCATTCCACCAATGTTGAAAAACAAAATCCTAATCTAGGCATTGTTCACTATATTCATACTCTGCAGTTCCTTTTTTGGGACTGCCCACACACATATTAGATACAAAAGTCTTTAAGAGCTTGGGCTTTGACTTCTGTCTGACATGGATGCTATGGAAGTGTCAAGCTTGATGATCTCCTAGTAAAAATTGGGATAGAAAGCTTAATTTCATGAATTCATAAATATATCTTCATATGACTCTACAGTGTTAGGACTCACTGGTTTGTACTTGTAATACTAGGATTGCTGGCCATCTCTCTTACCCCTGCAGTGTACTGTACTTCCTTGGGCCAGAACCTGCTGAACTCTGCTACCTCTTATTTGTTCATTGGCTCCCGAGTGAGCTAAGAAATGCTTCAGGTCAACTTCCAGCAGATTCTCTGCCCATTCATGGCTCTTGGTCCCCCTTCCTGTAATGCTTCCCTGCTGCTACCATGTCTTCCCGCCTGTCTGGTTCACTTACTCCAGCCACTCAGCTCTCCAGAATGAGCTCAGGCATTTTTCTTGCCCAGGAGAAGTCCACATCTGCCGTCACACCCTGACCCTATGCCTGAGGGTTGCAGCACAGCAACATGGAACACATTCTTCTTTTCTTTCATAATACAGAAGAGCTAAATGTGTTTTGTTAAAATAAATTAATTTCCCCCTCCGCTATCAGTTCTTCATCTTGTGATATATTAGTCCTGGAGAGTTCCATGCCGGCACTCCTCCCACCACCAAACTTTCCACTTAGATGCCTTGTTCAGCCAAAGCAAATAATTTAGGCAGTTGTTTATTTTGTAAAGTAGTTTCAGCGAGGAGAAGGAGAGTGGAACAGCGGCACACAGTCACTGCGACTCCTGCCAGTGAAATTACGTGGCTGCAGAGACTCCATTAGGGATAGCAAGAAAGCTGGAGGAGGGGTCTGACTGGAAGAAAAGAGCATTGATGGAAACAGTTCCACAGTACTTGAGTTGCTAAGAAAGAAAAGGAATGTCATGCACCAGCATGTCTAAGCAGGCCCAGTGTTTCTCTGGACATGACTAAGGCTGCTTCTCTTTGGGCCCCTCATTGGTGTAAAAAAACCACAGGTGGCTATGCTCAGGCAGCTGGCAGGACATCTACACTGCAAAGAATAGTCACTTGCTCAGGATGCCCTGTGGCTGCGAGGGAGACGTGGAAATAAATATTAAATAGAACATATACAAGACTTGTTTCTTCCCAAGCATCTAGCCGGATGAATTAGGCAAGCAACACAGATGTTCAAGAAATCCTTAAGTCTGATAGTAAGTTGCAATTACCTCAACTGGCTCAGGTTAATGTTCCTGAATGTGGTCAACACAGTTCAGTGGCAGGCACACAATCTGCATTGTGCAGCCCCTGGGTTCAATTCCTGCAATCTCCAGGGAGAGACAGGAAAGAGCCCTAACCAGTCTGTGGCAACATTATTAGGCCAGGCAGAGTAAGGGTTGACTCAGTGAAAAAGCAGAGTCTTATCTTTGACCAAGGCCAAGATCATCTACACCACTGTAATTCCAAGCATTCTAGAAACCTAAATGGCTCAGGGCCAGGTTATATGAAGGAATGCCTCATCCTCATGTACCTACCCAGGTCTTAAGATCCTCTTTTGGGGTCCTTCTTAGGGAGCCTCCCCAACGGAAATAAGAAGGATGGTAAGCAGAGGAAGGGCCTTTTCAGTTTTGGCACTCCCTTTATAGAATTAGCTCCTCAAAGAGGTACACCTGATGCCACCCCTTTTTCTTTTTGACACCAGGTGAAAACCTTTAGTTTGCCAGGTATTTTAACAGTTAATTTTTAGTTTTAATATTGCATTTTACTACATACTACTGCTGTACCTATTTACCAACCCCAATTACAGTTGTTGTGGGTTTGCTGTTGATACTGTGGTTGTTTTATTGGTTTTACTGTGTTAATGTTTTATCGTTATATGGTGTATCTGGTTTTTGTTTGTATTTTTTAAAAACTTTTGTTACCTGGCCAGACAGCCTTTTGGCTATTGGGTGGTATAAAAATGAAACAAACAAGTGGCTGTTTTGAAAGCTGGACAATGAAAAAAGCTGGCAGGAAGAACATTGATGCATTTGAATATCTGTGAATACCCTAGACTGAAAGAAAGACGAACAAGTGGGCCCTAGATCAAATCAAGCCACAGCTTTCCCTGGAAGTAAAAATAACAAAACTGAAGCTGTCACATCTCAGGCAAGACTTATTGGAGAAGACAATCATGCTGGGGAAAGTCAGTGGCAGAAGAAATGGAAAACCAAATAAGAGACGGGCTGACTCCATAAAGGAGGCTAACAGAGCTGTCATGGACAGGACATTTTGGAGAGGTTTAATTCATAGGGTTGCCATATGTTGGACACAACTTGACAGTACATAACAACACCTCTTATGAACCTATAATGTGAGAGGAAGGAGCTCATGGAAGGCTGCAGATCAATTTCTATGAAGAAGGGATACTAAAGAAGTTGCATATTTACTTCTGTGCACATGCAGCTCAGGTGTGAAGTGGTGCATTTCTGAGAAGCAATGGGATTTTAAACCTTGTGCATGTTTTAAAGTTTTGAATTTGCAAAACTGTCATGCCAAGTGTCATCTGCACGGCTGCACGTTAGATGCAACCTGGCTGAAAAATGGCGAATTCTTACAATTGCTGTCTGATGTTCTTGATCTGCACATACCTATGCAACTCATGTTCTGATCACCATGATTTTTGTCATGTATATTAGCTTTCAAACAGATAGTGAAAATTCTTCACAAAGAATTTCTGCATGACTACACAATGGGTAAAACTTAATAGCGGTTGAAGCATACATGTAAGCATGGCCACCAATGCTTCCATATATTTGGTGATGAATCAGAATATGGCATGGGAATTTTGTTTCAGTGTGCAAATCACTCAGAAATACCCCCATTCACAACCCCAATGACAAACAGGAATGCATGTTCCCAAAAGATGCTGGCAAACTCTCCCTCTACTCCTTTTGAAAGGAACCCAAGGTAGTTCCAAAGGTTCCTCTTCTTGTCATTTTCTCCCCAAAACAACTCTGTGAGGTAAGTTAGGCTGAGAGCAGTGACCAGCCCAAAGCCACCCAGTGGGTTTCATGGCTGAGTGGGGCCTTAAGCCCACACCTCCTTAGTTCCATTCCTGCACTTTTAACCACTACACCACACTGGTTTTCGTTTTGTAGAAAACTCTCATTTGGGGGGGGGGGCTTGACCAGGGTGCAGACCTGGGTGCCCCTCCAAATGAACCTGTGTTCTTCCAGTGCCAGGCTGTGACAACAGCAATGGGCTAGATGGACCCATGGTCTGACTCCTTATAAGAGAGTGTCCCACCCCTCCAGATGCTGCTACAATACAACTCCCAGTATTCTGGCTATGCTTCTGGGGCTGACAGGTACTGGGGGGCAGCAACATCTGGACAGTAAGATGTTCTCCACCCCTGTGCTAGATTGTTATGCTAAGTAAAGTCTCAGCTACCATAACGCCTCTGCCATGAGGACACAATTCAGGAGTTCCCTGGTATGTCAAGTTAACATAACTGATTGTCTTCAGTGGGCCAATGGTAGTTTTACTGCCATACAACAGGAGAGGTAATGGGAAAGTGTTGAATGCAAGGAACCGCCCAAGCGTGAGGAGCTGAACATCCACACTGTCTGTAGTGATGTAAATTTCAGGTGCAATCACAAGTAGAAAATAATTTGGATCCTCAACTGTAAGCTACTAAGATAGAAAGTGATGAGACTTCAGACCAGGTAAGCTTAAGGCCCTGGGACCTTTCAATGTGGCTACATACTTTTTTATATGATGTATGAGGCTTTTCCCCCCCTGTTACCCAAGAAACTGAACTCAGTCAACAGGTAACATTTCCACTAAAACCAGGTCTTTTCACAGGATTGTAAATTTTGGCTAGCTTCCTCCATTCTTCCCTTTGCTTGCTGGTTATAGATTTTATTCCCTTAAGCCACCAGGTCCAGACAGAAATAGAAGCAAGAAAACAACCCAAGAACAAAGGTCCTGTTAATGAAGAGAAACCAAACAAAAAGTGAAGGGTCTGGGAAGCAAAGTACTATGTAACACAGTATTCAAGCCAATACTATATTAACCAAGGCTTTCAAGACAGACATCTGACAGCTTGAAATAACAGCCCTGTTGTTTTAAGATAAAAAGACATTAATTTTGAGGAAAGCCAGATAAAACACTGTGTGTACTTTTCATTTTTATAACATTTCCACTTCCCCATTTTAAAATGGAAATCCTCCTTTGCATTTGCAATGAGCTTGTGTTTGTTACGCTGCAAGGCAAACCAGTTCAGCCATGAAAAGCAGACAGTGTTATGGAGAAGAGATGGTGATAGCTTAAAAGGTCAAGAGGAGAACAGAAACAACCTAAGACAAAGAGGGTGGTACCTCATGATACAGGATAGCAGGGCTGAATTAAGCCACTGGACAAATATGCTGCATTCAAAGCACAAAACTGAGACCCACATAGTAGTAACCATGTGAGAGTAACACTGGACAGATAGTGCAGCTGTCCTGAAGACTTCCTTTAAATTACCTGCAGCTCAGAAAAGCAGGGATATCTCGGAATTTCATTTTTGTTTCTCACTCAAATTTGCTCTTGAACCTGATGTTGAACTTTGAGTATTTTTCAAAAGGTCACGGACTAAATCGTAAAAATACTTTTTTTTTTTTGAGGGGTTACACTTTTTAAAGTTGCGTGCTTCCTCTGTTTGTAAGAAACAAAAAACAGGTTGCAACTCAACACAGAAACAAGATGATCTGAGCTTCAAGACAGAGTTTGGAGAGTCTTGGCAACTGCAAACATCACTTGTGCTCTCTAGCAGGCTTCCCTTCTATATCTTGGGACAGAAAGGCAGGAACCATGCTCCCAGTTGTTTGCAGCAAAAACATGTAACAAACTGATAACATGCCAAGTGCAAGGATCAGGGGCAACACCATCAAATGCTAAAGAACAAGATTAGTAGGGCAGAGAAAAGTGGCCTCTAGTGGTCAAAGATGCAATGTGACAGGGTCGTGTAACACATGAGTAAGGGTACTGTGGACCTCCAAAATATCGCTGAGCACAGGCATCATGCACAACTTCAACCTGCCACGGAAGAGACACTTTGCATGTGTCTCTGAAGGTAACAGACTGAAGCATGCAAGTGTATGAGGTGATATGATCAGCTTGTAGCAGGAACATCAGGTCCTGACTTTCCCTTCTAGCAGGTGAAGTGGCCTTCAATTGCAGCCTCTGAAGATCAGGACATCTTAAGATTCAGTTACAGTGCCAGTGGAACGCCATCACTTTTGAAACTACTTACATAAAGAAAAAAGGCACTGGGGTAACATACTATTACCAAATGTGCTCCTCTAAATTATTAGGTTGGTACTATTACCTGTGTTTATCAAACCAGCAAAGCAGGACAGCTTAGCCATTGGTACACCCTGTTTGCCTTCTGACTTGCTCTCTTTTAAACATTCTCATTGCTTTACAACCTCTTCTTATATATTCCTTCCCCACCCAACAGAATGAGGGCTTAGTGCCAACCTTTAGTCAGGAGCAAATAAACGGAAGGACTGCTCTCTGGTCTGCTTTACAAGTTGGCTTTTGGGACAGGGTAAGCATTGCATGCCTTTTTCCTGCCAATAGTCACTAAGACATTTTGCTCTAGGTGGGAAACTGATACCTGACCCACCTTTGTAACATATTTACCCTGGAACAAAAGCAACACTTGCTCCATGCATTAAAACAGCTCTTGTCAGTAATTTAAGTATCACTATCGTTTTGTTCTTTACTCCTTTATTTGCTTACCTATAAATAGCACATTTGGGCCTACTGAACTTACATTGGTTAGCCGGAACATTGTCTACTTAGTCCAGAAAATGAGAACAATGACAATAAGAACAACAACAACCCTATCCAATGTTAACTGGAGGATACATGAAGACTGTCAGGTTGTAGATATATTTGCTTATCAAAACAGGTCTGCTAAATACCACTAATCTAGGCAAAAAGTGCCATGCAATTTTGATTAACAACAGACTCAATTATTCTTTTTCCTCATGACTTTTATGTGATAAAGCTCCCAGTAAGCCTGTTTCTTGGTCTCTCAGGGTACATTTTTTTATTACTACTAGCAAAGATTCCCAATTTGGTTTAGTCAACCATCCAAATTATCTCCAGTTTTAGCCATATAAACTGTCTAGTTTCTCACTATTTCTGTTTCTGCCTGCCAGGGAACCTGTGTGTGTTTTATCCAAGATGGAGACAGAGCTGAGCAACAACTGCCATTGTTCCGTCAGTCCTGGCAACAGTCCTGGGTGCAGCCAGAAACCATCCAGTACCTATTACAGCCTAACTTGCATGTCTGCAGCCTCTGCCCCATTCCATGGCTTCAGCACCAGCCAGCATCTTTGCCCCCTCTTCCTTTCTTCTGTTTACTGTCTAGCCTGATAAAGAGTTCTAGAAAACTCAGAAGTGCCTTTTTGGTTGGCCTAATAAAAACAAAGCCCTAGTATGCATTTTGAAGATTCTCCCTTGTATACTTTAAATTCATGCCATATTATGGTACTTGAAAGACAAAGTGAGGTGGTTGTTGCTGTTGTTGCTGCTGTTTTGTTGATGTTGTTTATTTCATTTCTATACTGCCTGTAGCTGAAGCTCTCTGGGCAGTTTATAACAAAGTATCAAAACAATAAAATATAATAGATAAAACATTAACAAGAATTAATTTAAAGTAGCATTAAAACAATGAAAAGACAATGGGAAAGATCCAGTCAAGCCTATAAGAAAGGGACCTGGCTAACTGTGTCAGGCCCTCAAATGACAGGGAGGTCTTAAAGATCACTGTAAAGAGGGCTGTCTTAACCTAGCACCAAAAAGATGGCAAATTTGGTGCCAGGTGGGCCACAGCAGGGAGGTTGTCCCAAAGATAGGGGGCCATCACAGAAAGGGCCCTCCTACTAGTTGTCACTCTCTGACCCTTTCATGGACTTGGCACCCGGGCAAAGGCCCCAGAGGCTGAGCATAGTGTCCAGACAGATCAGGGCTAGGAGAGGTGTTCCAACAGGTAATGCAATTCCCAAGCTGCATGGGCTTTTATAGGTTAAGACCAGCACCTTGAATTGGGAATGGATGCATACAGAAAGCCAATGAAGGCAGCTATTAAATGTCTGGACCTCTGGGTCCCAGTTAATCTGCCTGCTGTATTCTGCACCAGCTGCAGCTTCTGAACCATCTTCAAGGGCAGCCCCACACAGAGTGTTGTGACTCAGTCCAAATTTCTCTAGACCAGTGATGGTGAAGCTTTTAGAGTCCGAGTGCCCAAACTGCTACTCAGAACCCACTTATTTATCGCAAAGTGCCAACACTGCAATAAAACCTGAATTTGCTGACCACCAGCACAAGGGGGCAACGTTCCACTGACCACCAGCTTTTGGCTGGCCCTGAAAAAGGTATCTGAGTGTATTTCCCACCTTCTGCTAAAATCACAATGGGTTGCGCAGACTCAAACAGGCGGCCTTTTGATCAACCAGCCCAGCAGCACAGCAGTTTAAACCACTGCTAAAATCACAGTCCATGCAAATCCCTGGCAGCTCACTGACCGGCCATGCGAAAGCTCGGTGAGTTGCAGCTAATGAATGATGTTGTCGCCTGGTGCCCTTAATCTTTCTGAATATGCACATGGCTGCTGGGCCAATTGCGTGCCAACAGAGAGGGCTCTGCGTGCCCCTTTGGGCACGCGTGCCATAGGTTCGCCATCACTGCTCTAGACAAAGGGTATGTAACATGGTCTTCTCCAGATGCTTTAAATTCTAGCTCCTATCAGCTCCAAAGTACAGGGATTACAGGAGCTGAAAAGGGAATACAGGAGCTGTACTTCACATTATATAGAAGGTGACCAGTTGTCCAGCCCTGCTCTGCATCATTTGCAACTTAAAGCATCTTATTTATGTCAGCACTTGATGAAATTGCTTGCCTTCACTTCTATTTCTCACAGGGGCATGAGATAACATGTTAGAAAATAGCCTCTGAAAAAGTACTCTCCTACCTTATCCCTTGCATCATTCAGAAGATCTTCCAGCTCTGAAAAACTGAAACTGGCTACAGTGATAAAATCACTCATGACAGGGACGAATCTATCACCCACTTCCCGCACACGTCTCTTCTGATAGTCTAGCTCCTGAAAAAGAGAAAGATTGGAACAGATGATTGGCAGCAAGTAGCAGAGTTTTTTGTGAGATTATTCTAACTGATGTAGGCACAATGCTAAACTCAAGACAAAACTATTTGTCTGGGTCGCAGTTCTGGAAATAGGAACGCTTATGACACTTCTTAAGCATTCACAGTCACAGAACACAGCATTATACATGCTGATCGAATCAAACGTACAGTGTTAATTCTAAAATTCCCAGAAACATAGCTAGGGAAAGCTTTAGAGGACTTCCTGGCTTCTAGGCCCTTTCTTTGAATATTCAAGGAAGTTTTGATTTTGCAAATAATGAACTTTCTAGCCCATTTACTTGTGGGGGTATAAAGGGACACACATGTGGGTGATACCTGGCCTGACAGCTCAGCACCCAACATATCCAGGGTCCATTTATACAGGCAGTCTAAGAAGATTTAGCTGTTGATGTTCCAGGCCTTCTCCTTCAACATTCCAACCTTCAGTTTTCTGTATGGATGTTTTAAAGTAAGGTTACAGTCCTCTGAATCATAGAGATGCCAGAAAATGCAGCAAATGTTCTACCCAGTTAATCAGAAAGAAGAAACCTGCTCTCATTTGCCAGTATTCTGGCTAATAGGTACAAAGGCATTAGGATTATTGACAAGCTTGGTATTGACATCTCCAGTTAAGGATAACATTTATTCTTAATGCTATAAATTTTTAAAACCAACAAAATATGTAATATTTCTAAAACTGAAACAGCAAGGGAAGAAGTACAATGAAGCAATTTCTAGAATCACCAACATTTTAGTCTCAGCAGGGGGCATACATTAATGGTGATGCACAGGCTGTCCTAGACCCAGTTTTAAGCATTTCACCAATTCAAACATCTCAAGTAGTAAGGCTAGAAAAGATCTGCCAGTCAGAGTGGTGAGACAGTTCAACCTTTATGGATTCACATTTCTGCCTTTAAGAGCTGCATATGCCCAGTGACCCGGTTTCTACTACTTCAGTCTAGTCATAGAGAAGGTATGTATATAGATGTTTAGGAAATTTTCACAGAATACAGTGAATCTGGTAAAGGGGAGAGGAAGCTAAGGTCAAAAACAGACATTACGCTAAATCTTTGTCTAGCAGCGATGCTGTTGTTAGTCTAGTGTGTGTGTAACAGGGCTGATCTGGATCCTCAAACCTTTCGTACTGGCAAAGGGTGCTGATAAGAATCAGAGGCCTTGCCCATTCTAAAATCCATGTTTCCTTAAAAAAAAAAAAAAGATGTAGTAACAAATTTAAAGTAGTATGTGATTTGGCCCTAAGGAAGGCCTAGTAACAAACAGCACATCAAATAAAGAGAAGTGTAGACACTGTGGACAGGGTGAACCCTAACAACACACACTCAGAGATGGCAGATCATAGCCATGATTACAGAATTGCAGATCGTCTCTCCCCCATCTCTGAAGCCATCCAGAAAACAAAACTGCCCTGTTTCACTTGGCGGGGCTGCAGATGACACACATGATGCAATTTGCAGCATATCAGAATTGGAAGCACCGTAGCATTCTGCCTGAAGTGTGTGTGTGTGTGTGTGTATTTGTACTTTGATTTCAGATTTCAATAGAATTGTGTGTGTGCGCGCGTGCACTTTGATTTCAGATTTCAATAGAAAGATCTCATGTGAACATGAACCAGAGGTCACCATAGCATTCTGTCTGGAGAGAGAGAGAGAGAGAGAGAGAGAGAGACAGAGAGAGAGAGAGAGAGACAGAGAGAGAGACAGAGAGAGAGAGAATATATATTTGTACTTTGATTTCAGATTTCAATAGAAATGAAAGACCCTATGTGAACATGAACTAGAGGTCCTGAATGCTTCCTTCAATAATGTTTCTTCCTTAAGAAATGTGTCAGTGCTTTGAATGTCCTCAGGAGGTCAGTCGAGGACAATACCAAGTGCTCCTTACTACCCGCTTCCTTTCAAAATTTTTGCTCCCATGGCGAGCTCTGTGCACTGCATAAGCTTTGTAACCTCTGGATGTTCCTTTGGTGCCTTCATTCAATTACTACCATAGATTCATTTTCCCAAGCTAAATGAAAATAATCATATTAGATATTGGTTAAGTTTCTGCTTATTCTGTGATTGCGAAAACCGCTACTAATGCTCATTCTCATGGGATGCGCGCAGGTTGCCTGCCAAATGGACTCATTTGAATGGAACAAAACTGCAAGACTCAGCAATTGGATTTGACAATTCAGTAAGTTTGGACTGAATTTTGAACACTTCAGTAACTTTTGTTGGTGATCTTTACCCTGCATCTCCACACTACTCCACCACTCTCTTTCTCATCTTCTTCCTGACTACCTTTGCATTACAAGATCCTCACAGGGGGGAGACTGGGCCTTTATTTTGGTTCTGCTTTAATATTCTGTGCACAGAGAATAATGCCTTACTTATGCTCCCATTTTTAACTGAAACACCAGCCAGTTGTGTGGGATCGTTTGACCTGTCCCCTCTTTAAACTTGAACTGAAATTCATAAGTTGACATTTCATTGTAACATGTTAAGCCAAAGTCAGGAAATGTGTTCAAAAATCTTCTTTTTCAGAGTTGACCTGAAAGATAGCAAAAAACTGGAGTGTGTCCACAAATGCTACTGCTGTTACTGGCAGTGCTTGCTACCAGCGGGCCCCAGTAGCAACGTTCACAAAGAGCAATGAGCATTTACATCTTTACATTTTGATCTGCCGCTTCCCCTCTGTGAAGTTTTGCATTGCATCTCGTTTTTAAACGGTGCTGCCAGCCTTGGGAAGCAAAGGATTACAAAGTGCCTCTGTGAGCAGCTGACTGTGGACCTATTTTTAGACTTGTGTTTGCAATAAGGGGCCTTGAAGAACCCTCTCAACTGTCAGAGCCAGGACTGTGGTGAGAACATGCTGGAACTGAGTCAAGAGTTGCACCTTTTTTTCTTTTTCTTTTTTCCACCATCATTTGCTCCCAACAATGATCTTCCATTGTTACTACAGTACTGCGTTTTTAAAAGCCAAAAAATGTGGAATGAATGAGCATGAGTGGGAGGTCTGGCTGCCAAAGTTAATAATAACTATAATAATAATTAAGAATGGTAAGCTGAGGTGGGTAAGAAGACAGGAACTGGTGTATGAACAGAAAAAAGATTTTGCCCAAAGAGAGGAAGGCAAGGGTACTGCAAGGACACTGGGCAAGCAGTCTTCAAGCTGAAAGCAAAAACAAAATCAATGGTTTATCACTCGACAGCTGCAACAATCTTGTAATTTCTTGGTTGCATGAAATAACCAGCACAGAGGAACTAGGACACATAGAGCTTTCTTATCATGTGAAACAACTGCATTCCATATAAGGTCAGGTAGGGCGAATTGTCCAGAGATAAAATTGCAGCCTGGCAAGTCATCATCACATATATACCCTGCCTCGCTTCCTTCTTCCAAGGCCATCTGCAAGGAGTCCCTCCTCTCCATTTTATCTTCACAGCAACAACCCTGTGAGGTAGGTTGGGCTGAGAGTCTGTGACTGCCCCCAAGTCACCCCGTGAACTCCATGGCTGAGTGGGCACTTTAAACTGGCTCTCCCAAACCCCAGTCTAGCACTGTAACCACCATGCCACACTGGCTCTCGAACTGATGTTGTATCATTGTGCAGACTGGCCAGTGCTTGATTTCACATGAAAGTCGGACTGGAAATGCAGAACAAACAGCATTCCGTGCTCAGCCTTTTTAACATCTTGTCTTCCCAGCTGAAGTGGTTGAAGGATGCATTCCCCCATCATTCTCCTTTCAAGCATGCAGAATGGGCAAAGAGGGGATTCTGATCTGAAACTGCAGTAATTGAGCTTAGAGGTGCCCTTAAGCTGAACTTGACTCCACCAAACCTGTCCAGTGAGTGTGGAATGGGTTACAAAATTTCCTCCAAGCGTATACAAAGAGGACTCAACATGGGCATGTCTGGTAGGAACATTGGGATGGCCAAGAGGTACCCCCTGACTTGCACCAGGCCTCAGGTGTGCCCAGCACCAAAGGCCTTCAAGCATATACAACAGGGCTTAGCACAGCCCAGGAATACTGCTAAAGTAAACTAGTCCCCACTAGTTGCATAAGAAGTTGCTACTTCTTATAAGAGCTTAGAAGAAGAGCACCATAACCAGTGATTACACCTAAAAAAGGTAAATTGCATGTAAACAGAGCAGCTCCAGTTTAAAAAAATCTGTCAGTCAACATTGATATTGAACCTGCAACTCAACAAATGTCAAATGATGTACAGTGTAAAGCAAAGAAACTTGTCCCATCATTCTGCTCTGCATGGTGGGAATGAAGAAGTGCCTTAGTTGCCCACCTGGCAAGCTTGGGCTGTGCTCTGATTAGACTGCTGGACTCAGAAGACCTACGTTCTAAGTCCTCACTTCCCCATGAAGCTCACTGGGCGATTCTGGGTCAGTCACTGACTCTCAGCCTAGCTTACCTCACAGGGTTACTGCGAGGATAACATGGGGAGGAAGAAAACCTTGCAAACTGACTTGGGTTCCTTGGAGAGGCGAAGGGAGGGCAAAAATGTAATCAATAAATCCACTCAGCCTTCTCAGTCCATCTTTGATACCACCACCAGTTTAACTGGGGGCATTATGTTCTCTAGTCCAGGGAGAAAGAATGTACAGGGCTGTGCCCCACATACATACTTGGCCTACAAATACAGGATGCCATTAATGGCCACTTCACACATGTCTTGGTCTCTAGGTATCCTTAGCAGACCTGTGCTGGATACCTGCTAAAACCATCCATATAATAACAGAAGTGGGTAAGTGTTGTTAACGTAACACTATTCTCTCCCCAAACAACAGTATGTATGTATGTACGTACTTGTATGTATGTATTTAAAACTTTTGTATACTGTCCCATCACTGATGTCTTGGGACGGTTCACAACAATAGCATAAGATAAAAAATAAAAGTAGCAGAAACCCTGCACATCTAATTCTGTTAAGGAGTTCATTGGAAACTGTCTCAATGTTAGCAGCTGAGTAAGCAAATATATAATAAGGGGGGGAAAAGAAAAGACAAGAAAAAAAGAACTGCTTTATAAACTTTCACCATGTCCTTGCTTACAGAAACAATTTGGACTTGAGACGGTCTCCTATTCATTTGCTATATACTCCAACCTAATGGACATTTGCTGCAGCACTGATAACAATTATTCAGCAGCCCCAAATCACAGGTAGGAGGCATAGATGGGGTGACACACTGAAAATCACACAGAAAGCCAGGAGCACAGTGCACAAGTGCCTGCAGGTATTCTTGGCTCCCACTCCTCCACTCAGTCCACTAGATCACAACACCCTGGAGAATGCCAGCATGACAGAAGCCATCCCTTATGACTCCAGCGTGATTCCGTATAACAGAACTCTACAGAAATTATCTCAAAGCCTATAAAAGTGAGTATGCATTTGGAGAAGTCTTTAAAATGTGAGCTAGTCTGTAGCACATGGACATGTAATTCTCTGTACATGTGCACTCAAATGCATTTTCCCATTCAGTTCTGGATGTATCTTCATCTAAATTAAATACATGCCAGGATTACAGCCCACCGGAAAGACACATGCAAGAGTCTCAAGAACATAAGAACCATGGCAGAGCACACATTGTTCAGCATTCTGTTCACACATGGCCAACCAGCTGCCTACAGGAAACTCCATGAGATATGAATGAAACAGCCCGTGTTTCTCAGCAATTGGGGTATGTACATATACTTCCTCTAGTACCAGAGGAAGCATATAGCCAACAGGGTTGGTAGCCACTAGTAGCCTCATCCTCCATGTATTTGTCCAATCCCCTTTTAAAGCCTTCCAAAATGGTGGCCATATTGTAGCAACCATGGGCTATGTGAAGAAGCACTTCCCTATATGAATTCTGAATCTCTCACCAACCCGCTTCATGGGATGATCCTGCAATCTAGCATTATGAGGGGGAAAACGTCTCCCTATTCACTTTCCTCACACCATGCATGATTCTGTACAACTGACATGCTTTGTTTTTCTCAACTAAACAATCCCAGCTGTTGCAGCTTTTCCTCATAGGGCACTGCAGTTGTTCTTTTTTCACAATTTTTCCAACTCCAGGACAGTATGATCTTTTGTTTTCCATTTCTTTTCTAATTAGGCCTGATATGGAGTTTTCCTCTTTTGCAGAAGCTCCACACTGGGCTGACTTTTTTTACTGAGCTCCTCACAACAACTCCAAGATCTCACATTTTTGCACATTTTCTGTCAGTTCAGATCCCATCAGCTTATACTTGTCATTGGGATGTTTTTGCCCAACGTGCATCACTTTACCTGTACTTGAGAGCCTGGAGGGCTGCGGCCAGACCTTGCAGATCATTCTGCACTGGATGCACAAGTGAACCTCAGAACAGGGGTAAGGCTGGACATACGCTGGGTCCATCTCAGGGCCGGCCCAAGGCATTTTGTTGCCCGAGGCTATGGAAACCAACTGGACTGGCACCTGAGCCTTATTTCGGCCCTGGAGGATAGAGGCCTCCATTACCCCCCGAGAGAAGCAGCCTGTGGGGCACATGCAACATTGTCCTCCAAAGAGAGGACAGGGGATGGCCACTGTTGCTCCTAACTGTTGCCACCTGAAGTGGTTGTAAGATGCCAGTGGAGGGACAGTCTATAAAAGCTTTACATAAATAAACAATGATAGAAGTCTTATTGAGGCTGACTGCCACCAGCTCCTCAGGGCTGCAGCCAGAGCTGCCAGGGGCTGACTGGGAGCCTCTGCATGCCATGCAAGTGCCCCATCACTGAGATATAACCCCTCCCTATGCCTCAGCCCCTGTGAACAACCCATGATACATAGGAACAGCAGGGGGGCACCAAGGAGCAAAGAAGCTGATCATCGCTTGCGCGCTCGCTCGCTCGCTCTCTCTCTCTCTCTCTCTCTCTCTCTCTCTCTCTGTGTGTGTGTGTTTGTGTGTGTGAGAGGGAGGGAGGGAGGGAGAAGCTTACAGGGATTCTCAGAACAAACATCATCATATTCATAGATCTAAACATGCCACAAAATTTTAATATACATACTCAGCCCTAGAAAAAAACAAAATAAGTATGGTAAACATTTAGGAGTGGACTGACCATGTGACATTTTGCTTGGAAGTAGCCATCTATTTTTAGTCTTGGGAGTGGCTCATGTGTCAGAAATAACATAATATGTAAAAAGAGAGAGAGAGAGAGAGTCCTTTGGAGATGTTTGAGGAGGGAGCAGAAATGCTAGTGCCTGACACAACACAGCTGGTTTAATGCTGTACAGGGTTATGATCAGCTATTTCATGTCCCTTCTCCTCCCTTCTGGAAGCCAGTTTGGCAGGTAGTAAATGTTTTAATGCATAGGCTATAGTCCACCTGTGTAGACCTGTCCACAGAAGCCACATATCAAATACCTGCTCAAAGACCAAATGCCTCTGAAAGGAGCAAATAAAAAATGATCAACACGTTGCCAAACTCCCATTCCTTGACTCTCCATAGCAGATCAAACCATCTTCTTGTTAAGGGATACATCTGCTAATATCGTCAGGCCAGATTTCACAGGAGACATTAAAAAAAATATTCAGTTTTAGGAAATAGGCTCTGCTTGACAAAGGAAGAAAGCTCCTTCTTTCTCCAAAGACACAGGGCCCCAGATCCCAAGGGAGACATTTTTAAAGGGGAGCATTTGAAAACCAAGCCATACTTACAGCTTCAACAGCTTTCAATCCAGTCTTTATGTTGTTAACTTCCTTCTCCAGCTCCACCAGGCTGCAATGAGACAGACAGCCGTTTTAAACAAAAAGGGCAGTGTTATACGGGAATACAGGAACTGCTGAAGCAGAAAAGACTGCTGGTCCATCAAGTCTAGTATCCTGCCTCTGGCACCAGCCCCACACCAGATGCTCAGAGAACAGAAGAAGAGGTCCATCTGGCTTTGCATAGGAGGTTTCAACCCCCATTCACATTAAAGATCCCACAGTATTCAGAAGAGGGCAAGCGTTGTGGCCTCAGGGTATTTGCAATGTGGAGGCATGCTATGAAGCCTGTGAATACCCCTTTACTCTTTAGCATGACTGCTAGCCACATGGCCAGCTTTCAATGAAGAGCTTCCAGCGCAGACAAGATTTTGGCCTGATGGACTGATAATCAGCCTTCTTATTGGGACCATTTCCTGGTCTTTTTGTATATTTAGGACACTTATGTTTTACTGGTGGTAGTCGCCTTGAGTGCTTAGTGTAGACAGATAGGATTGCTATTTAGTTCATTTATCAATGAATAATTTCTCAACCAACAAGCAATCAACACAGATTTGCTCTTCTTCCTCACAGATGCTATTCCATTCTTTTTCCACAGAAAAAGCAAGCATCCTAGTTTAGTACAGCAATCATTTAAAAAGAAACACTTCTCTCCTTCTGGATCTTTTACCAACCATCATAGTCAAGAATGTTTGGCCTGGGCAGGATAAGTATACAGTGATGGTGCTTTGCCAACCATAGTCTCGTATAATCTGCTTGCAGGCCCAGTTCAAATTGATGGTTATAACCATCACGGCTTCTGACCAGGTTATCTAAAAGACCACCCATCTCCTTATGCACATACTTGAATCTTAACATCTGTTTTGCAGCTGTTCTCCAGGTGTGCCTGATGCCTACCTTGATATCATTTACAATGAAGTCTTTCTGTAGTCTCCCAGGCCTTCTAATCTGTTTCTGCTCTAAATATGCTTTATCTGGACTATGGCTTTTTACAATGCTCTTTGTTTTATTGATTTGTTTTACATGTACTTGTAATTACTCATTAGATCTGCTGGAACCTGCCTAATGAAAATGGTTACAAGATGGCATATAGTTTATTCAAATAAATTAATTAATCCATGTTATAAACTGTTATAACATTAATACTGGGTGATAAGCAACTGCTGTCCCTTTATTCAGTGTTATTTAAAAAAAAATCCAATAGAGTTCAAGACTGCATGTCACATGTGAGCAAAATGACCACTAGTGCTAATTAATGACTGGATGGATGCATGCCATGTAGCTTGAAGGGCCTGATCATGCCTCATCTTGGAAGCTAAGCAGGGTCAGACCTGGTTGGAATCTGGATGGGGGACTTCAATGTTGTGAACCACCCAGAGAGCTTCAGCTATGGGTGGTATAGAAATATAATTAATAATAATAATAATGCACTAACAAAGAGGCGGAGCTATGGATGCTGCAGGGCATCCACTGGGGTGAGCTGGTTCACACCAAACGCTTGCTATATTATGAAGCAGGACTCCAGACATTCACTTCTTAACTGATGAGGACTTTGTGGTGAGATAGCATTTGTATTAACATCTTGGTTAAAGAGTCACTTCACTATCCTCTCTTTAATACCTAGGATTTTAAAAAGAATAGTGATATTATTGGCTGTTAAGTATCACATCTCCTGACAACGACTTCCAACCACTTAAATTCATTTCATTTTGGGTGGTCTGCTGAATTATTATGTGAAATGATGAATAAAATATTCTTGGAACACAGCTCTGTGGTAGAACATATGCTCTGTATGCAAAGGGCCTCCAGTTAAATCCCTGGCATCTCCAGGAAAGTTTGGGAACGGCTCCTGCCTGAAATTCTGGAGAAATGCTGCTGACACAGGAAACTGCCTCACACTGAACCCAGCCATTGGGCCATCTAGAAGTATCTACTGAGCTAGAATGACCAAGGATCTTACTTGGTATATTCCTATTCACCTCGAATAAATGTTAGAGCTATATTACTTTGCTTAGCACAACCATTTCATCTGAAGTCCATCTTAGAATTACAGGGATCTGAACCTTTGTTCTAAAATTCCTAAACATTGTGCAAAGAAACCCCAAACAAACAATGTGATCTTCTGTGAGTGCACACTATTTTGCATTACATTTTTGTTACTCATTGGAGAAAACATGGAAGGTTATTTAAAATACAGTAACAGCAAACATGCAAAAGCAAAGGTATGTGAGTCCAGACTGGGAGATGGCTCTATGGATAAATACCTTCTATCCAAGGGTGCCCAACCTATGACCTTCCAGATGGTTTAACATACAGCTCCCATTATCCTTTGCCATGGACTGTGTTGGCTAGGACTGATAGCAGTTATAGGCAAAAATATCTGGAGGACTTGATAGTTGTCCACTCCTATTCTACCCTGCAACTGTGGAACCTGATGATTTTTTTTTCCAGAGATACAATCAAGTGTCTGTTTACAACCATGAGCATTAAAACCTTGTTTTTCTCCTTTAATGAAAAATGCACTCCAAAATATTACTAGCATAAAAATCCAGGGAGGGCTGCTGTTGCCTCAACTACAAGCTGCTTCTCAAAGGCACCTGGATGACCACTGTCACAAGGACAGTGAGGGGCTATGTACTCCTTTGCTGCAATCCAGGAGGATCTTCTTGCTTTTGTAAAGCTCAATAGCAGAGTACATGTTTTCCACATATATGATCCCAGATGCATTTCCTGGCAGTGATTCCAGTTAAACATCTCAGCTAGCAGGGCTGTGCGGGGGTGGGAGAGACCTTTGCCTAAGACCTTGGAAAGCTGCTGTACATTAGAACAGACAGTACTGGGCTGAGGAGGATCATTTATCTGACTCAGCATCTTATATGTTTATGGCACATAGCAGACTGTACAGTAATGATCATATTCCATTGTACAGTATTCTAGATGAGGTCTGACTAGTAAGAGTATAGAGGAACCACTACTTCTCATTATTTGGAAGTAATACTTCTATTAACGCATCCCAAAATAGCATTTGTCCTTTTTGTGACTGCATCACATTGTTGGCTCATATTTAGCCAGCTGTCCACAACAACTCCAAAGTCTTTTTCCTTTTCAGTTCTGTTGAGCCACATATTCCCTATACTGTATCGATGCATTTGGTTTCTTTTCCCTCAGTGGAAGACTTACTATTTGCCCCTACTGAATCTCATTCTGTTGCTTTCAGCCCAGTGTTCAAGCATATCAAGGTTGTCCTGGATCTTCACCCAGGGCAATTTTGGATCTGCTTAATAATTTTTCTATCTAGCTACTTTTTTTACAAGATTGCTTATCAGGATGTCAAGGGGGACTATGTCAAAATTTGATAAAGTCGAAGTAGATTATGTTCACACTGTTTCCACTGTCCCTATGTGAGGTTACCCAGTCAAAAAATGAGATAAAATTTGTCTGACAGGATTCATTCATTCTTTGTCTGACAGCATTCATTCATGTTGGCTGGAATAGCTGCATTTTCTTCGAGGCGCTTGCAGACTGATTTTTTAAATAATTTCTTCCAGAATTTTTCCAGGGACTGATGTCAGACATATGCTAGGGTGTCATGTAATAAATACATCACACATCCTTTATTCAAAGTCACCAATCCATATGCTACAAACAGGGCTCAACATAATTAGTTAGTGACCATGTATCACTCATCCCCCAGTATTTTTCCTTACTTGACTTTTGCTGCTTCTGGAAGATGCTGCAATTCAGACTGGATGTCTAGGATCCCCAGGTAGTGCTTTTCGAAGATCATAATTAAGTAGTGTAACAGTGTAATGTTCCTAAGGAAAAGAGATATGAATGAAGGAGACAATAAGGTGGTAGGCATAAGTGCTGTGTTATATAGACAGTCCTTTGCATGAAGCCATCAAAGATTCAGAGAAGTTTCAGTACTTATTTATCTGAAATAAAGGCACTGCAGGTGCAAAAGAAGCATTTCTCCCAATAATAAGGTAGTATGTCACATAGCCCAGCTTTTCATCTCCAGGGCTGAATGCATAGCCATCTGCAAGTGACCCAGCAGCAGATGGAACACTGCCCTGGATGCACTAATTTCCCTGCAGCATATTTGCTGACTTAAAAGAGGCACATTTCAAACCTGCTATGCAATTCCAGTTCATAGTCATGACACACCCTGTGCAGTGGGAAACTTGCACACATCAAGCAGAAATTGAATGGATCATCTGCTTAAATCTCCCCATATTTGCATAAATTGTTCCACAGGCTAGAGCAGGGCTGCAATTTGTACCATCTGAACTGCAAATTGGTACTGTGATGAGAATGAGCAAGAGTTGATCAGTTTAGAAATATTTTTGGTGGACACATGCTCGATTGCATGTCCAGAGATGGGCATGTTTGCTTGTTTTGTGAGCAAAAACCAAAGCTTCCAGTCTCAATAGGCAAGGTATTCCACTCTTGTGCCAATCATCTAGACATACCTTTTAACACTGAACAGGAGACCCAGCTTCATTACCCTGCTTCCAGGCTACATGCTGCACTTGAGTAAAACCTGTACAAATTTCAGGGCTTGGGAATTTATGTCTGTAATAACTAGTTCTTTTCTGTTTTTCTAAAACCATTTGTGTTGCTAAAAGAAAATAGTTGCAGCTGCCCTTGTGATGTCCAGGGCCATTTAGCCTTGCAATGCCTCTGCATCCTTCCAAGAGTGGTGGTATGGAGGGGCAACATGGCTGCCCCCAGAAGAGCAGCCACATTTCTCCCCCAACGTACCCCAAAAGGATGTTAGGTAACAACGTATCATCCTTCCTCAGAAGCATGATGGAGACCAAAGCCCCAAACATCGCTAGCAGCTGGTCACCACTTCCTTGCAGTAACAAAAACAGTTTCAAAAAGGAAGAAAAGAAAAACAATGTTTGCTGTAAAATATTGCAAATGTAAGTACCCTGCCCCTCAAGATTTTACCAGACTTGTGAAGATGGCGTGTGTGGGTGGTCACCCCTACAAATTCACCAAAAATCCCCCAATTGGAACTTTGTCCCAGCTCTCTTCATTTTAGTCCTGTTGATTGGTTTTATCTGGCTTTTAAGGCCATGCTGCCTTAGTGTTCTTGTGCTACATGTGCCAGTTGTTATTGTCAGAATTCCTTCTCTTTTCACATCTCACAGGGGATCTTAGCCCATTAGAATTTCTGTGCCATGAAAAGAATTGCACTTTAATTGTTTTTCATGTTCTTTTACATAAGCTGCCTTGGGATTTATTTATTTTTATTAAAAAGCAGTATATATTTACAATAAGTAAACCTACTTATCTATGCTAGACTTGGTATCTGCTATTTTGTTCAGGCTGGAGACCTTAAAGCCATAAGCATTTCCTCTTTGGCCCTTGTTCATGTAATTGCCGAAGGCTAAAACAACCTCCAGGAGCTGCTTCAGCCGCTTACTCCGGATAAGCTCTTTGGAAGCTAAGAGAAGAGCTGGAAGAGAGACAGAAAATACCCTCAGATTAACACATAATAGACTCATTTCAGTCAGCAACATCTCTAACAACGCGTAGCAGCCTTCTTCAAATCCCAGGTCTCAAAGTATATAGCCCCTTTCCCACACAGAATCAGGGGCACTCAAAGCGTGTATGAGAATACAAGACTGACTTGTACTTATTTGTTTACCTTCAGTTCTGAAGGGAACTTCCTACAAGGCAAAAGCACATCACCAAAAGGCATTTTAATTGCAACGAAAAACATGTACTACAGGCAGAGGCAGACAATGAGGCACCTGTGGGTACACCCAGGCACCTTTCCTGGTGCCCAATGAGGTGTCCCAGCCCTCCCACTTTAAGAAACAACTCATTTTCTTACCAGCAGTTGGGATTGTTGAAGAATAGGTAAGTGTTTTAAGTTCACACGAGTGTTTCAATGAGGGGAGGCTCAGATCCTATTTCTGCCTTATATTCAGACCCTTGGGCAGGTTATTTGCTGCCCGTCATGCTCCTATGGGTGCCATTTTGCTTCACAGCACAATATACTGTATTTTGGGTGAGATGGTACTCTCTGGGAAGGCCTTGACCTTACCTTCCACTTTTGGCTTGGCTTCTGCAAGCCTCTCTGGGAACTTCTTCTTAAAGAACAATGCTTGCAGTCGCTGCTGGTAGTGGTCAATCCTGAAGAAGAGGCGACAAAAGACATGAACGGCATTTCAATGACAGTCTCAGAAAGACAGGGCAACCATGAGCTCTGTCCATTCTTACACACAGCCTAACAGAACTACAGGATCCATTCATTTCCCAGTGAATGGAATCCATGAAATAGCCCAGGAAGTATAAGGACCTTCACCAGTCACTTCACTTTGGGCTAAGGGCCTGGAAGCAAACTCTGAAGGGTCAAGCATTAGCAGCCATAATTTGAGGAACAACCAAGCTGATACATCAGAAAGAAGGAGGAATGGCTGGGTTCACAAGACACACAGATCCATGCTCATGGGCTGAATATGGGTTGAGTGTGGATTGTTGAACCCAGCTGCAATAGCCAGCCATGGTTTATGAACTACAAACAACCCATAAAAGGGAACTTTGTTACTGCATTGTGAACTGTGGGTTTTTTGTGATTAACAAACCATGGCTTCTTATTGCAGCTAAGGTAAGAAGGAATGAGTTATCACAGTGGCTGTATTCATGCATAATGACAAGTCACACTGGAAACTGCACAGGCAGGTCTTGTCATTATGTGTGAATTCAGCATGTATAGTAAAACATGGTCTCTTTTGCTTCCATGAACTCCCACACAGAATCAACAGCCTATCTGAAGGTTTCTGGGCTTCACCATTGCTTGTGTTGCATGTGACTCCAATCACAATGTTTTCACACAGTTTCCAACATTTCTGCCAGCAAGTTTGGCAGCAAGAGCAGCTGTGGCTACAGCAGATGCCCTGCTGTGGCAACGGGATGGCAGTCATGCCACCTATAGCAGCTGCAACTGCTGAGACGGTCATGCATGGAGCTCCTGCCTGGTCGCTGCCCTGGGCTGGTGCGCCAGTTTTAAGGGGCACCGTGGCTGTGCCACTCTAGGAGCCAGTGGACCTGTGAGGAGCACACAGGCAGGAAGTGGAACTTTGCCAACGGGAGGCTCATTCCACCAAGCCCATGTCTCCCATTCTGTCTCCTGCCCTCTACCCTGCTCCTACACATCCTGGACAACCCCCTGGGATACCCCACAAGCCCCACTGTCTCCCCTACACACTTCCTGACAGCCTGCTGGCAAACTTTCCCAATGGGCATCATCAAGAAAGTCTGCCTGGCAGGATGCGTGCCTTCCGTCTCTGGCACGGGTGCCTGCTACTGCTCTCCCTGCATCTGGCAGCCCTTCGCAGTGCGTGTTTGTACATGGGCATGGCATGTGGCAGCAGTGGGGAATACTCCTGTAGGGCTACTCAGGAGCAAACAGTAGTGAATAAGCAGTTGCTTTGCTAATCAAAAACAAAATGAGCCTGCTATGGCCATGCCCAGGGGACCGTGTGGGCTAATGGGAGGGGGGTAGTAGGCAAACTAGGCAGGTGTGGTACACACTGGGATTGATTTCCTGTCATGACGGGATACATGCAACCATTTGGAGGGAAGATGGAGAAACATGGAAACCACACGTGCGTGGAAAGCACAGAAATGTGTGAGCACAGAACAAAACCTAAGATATCGTGCCACGCAATTACCACGCAGCATTGTCTAGCCTCAATAAGAAGAGGGAGGTACCAAATGCAGGGGTGAAATGGAAAGAAAGCCCCAAATGCATAGAAATAGGCTTATTACTAATATGCATTACTGATATTCTATTAGGGAGCATTGCTAGGTACAATGAGCAGGAGTCCCTGGCATTCAGCTCTGTTGCAATATACAGCAACTCATTCAGAACTGGGCCAGCAATATCTTGGGGAAAGGATTTCTGTGATTTTGCTTGGAGAGGAGTTTAAAAGCCATGGATAAATGAATGACCGACAACATGTGATTAATCTTCACTCTTTTTCCTCAGCTAAAGAAAAAGAAAAAACAGACATTCCACCTGGGATGGTCTTCCTTTTCCATGGAGTGATGAGGGAGGAAGGGGACACTCACCTGGCCAGCCAGATCAGCTGAATCAACCCTAGTGATCAATGGCATGACAAATGTTGCAGCCAGATCACCCTCACAGCCAGTAAAAGAGCCTCTGAATTAAAGTTGGAAGAACCAGGAGTGCTCAAGCTCACTTGATCTGGCTCGCTCCAGTTCTTGTTTGTAACCCAATCTTTGGTTGATCCAAATGGGAAAAACTCTTACTTTTCAAAGTTGTAGATGTTTAAAGAAGTGCATTTTTGAAAGTCTCATTTTGCGGGCACTAAGGAAAGTTGCGGAATTTGCAAAGATATTCAGAGACCGTGTGTTTCTGTTATAGTCAGGGTTGTGAACAGGGAAGTTTTAAGGAAATTGTGAACTGAACTAAAATTTTCATACATTCCTAGTCCCACTCCGACTGCCCGTACATTGTCTTATATTTATTCTCCCCCCTCCACATGCGTGTGCACGCACGCATGCACACACATATACAAACGGTCTCTGTCACGAGCACACACCTGCTCATTTCATAAAGAAAACGATCTGCACGAGCCATGCGATCAATTTCATGTTTATGCTCTTCCAGAAGGTCGATATCACTCTTCTCTGGAACAAACTTTAGTAGCTGGATTCAAAGGTACAAGACAGAGAAAAAAAACCCATGAGAAATGAACCACTCATAGGATGGGGAGCACCAGCAAGAGCAAGGAGGCAGATAAGTGGGAATGCGAACTAATTAGAGTTGCTACTGTAAGGCAATGCTGCTCTAAATGTCCATATGATCATAATGTTGAAGCAGTGCAGTTGTGGTTATAAAGGTGACCTTTATGAAACATCTGTTTGCTTCTCTGTCCTTATTCTCCCCTCTGTGACCTCCTTTCCTACATCAAATGTCATAAAGAATTTCTCATTTGTAAGTAACCACTTTCTGTGTACACTGTTGGCATTTAGTAAAGAACTGCCCTGATGACCAAAGGTACTATGGAGCATACTAAAAGTGCTGGCCCCACTCACCCAAAACTGTGACTATCTCTCTTTTTAAAAAATGTGTCTGCTTCAGAGAGACAATGAACAATATCTGTGTGACTGGATGGATGTCCAATACAAGCTCCTATTCATGCGCTGGACTTAAAAGCTCATACGTTGACAGATTTTTTACATATCTGGTGGGAGTAATGCTTCAGCCTGGCCATGTGCACATACCCAAGCTCCACAGCCTGCAAGAAACACCAGACAAAGGATCTGCTTTTCAGCACTCCCCTCCTTTATCCTGAGCAGCAGTTTAAATGTGGGTGATCCATCAACGACACAATAGCAGAGGGAGCCATTATTTGCCAAAGAAAACTGAAAGTCATGCCTAGGTAAATGCAAAAAGGCCTTTGTGGATACACTCAACAGGAAGGGAATGTGCAAACTGTGGACCATCTTCTTTTAGAGATTTTGGAAGATGTATTTATTTAAAGCAGATTTAAATTCTGCTCTACTGTACTCAGGATGTCTTAACAGAAACTCAAAGAGCTTTCCAAGCATAGATACTAATCTCATTTTAATATTTAACATAACCCAGTGTTTTAAATGGCCAAGGTTGCAGAAACAAAAGAATGGCATAGATGAGATCCACTCCTCACAGCCCCTCAGATGACTGATGAATGGGGGAGAAAAGAGCCAGCTTGTGGACGATGGAAGAGCTGGTGAGGCAAAATCCTCCAACATGAGAAACAGACTACAGTGGCTTGTGCACAGTCAACTAATGAGATCACTGCTGAAACGAAATACCAGGTGAGGCCTCACCCTTTTTATACACTGCACTACACATGTTGGTTTCCTTCTCATACACCTTCTGCTTTCTGACTTTTCATTTCCAGGACTACTGATACCCTATGCAGTCACTATATAAGGATACAATTAACAACTGAATTAATGAAATAATGAATTAATTACATGTCTTTTAAGCCACCTTGATAGGTGGCTAGGAAATGCATTGATTGCTTGATGGACTGACTATTCCTAAGGCTGCCTTATTCCAAAGCCTGGTCTGCCAGACATCATCGCCATTATTAGCATCCCCATAGCAATGGAGGGACTTAAGAGAAAACAAGTGGAATTAACATGATATGAATACCAGGCTGGAGAAATGCTGCTGTTTACGCTATTGCATTTCAAAGGCAAATTCACCCCACCAAAAGGTAAAGACTACTTTGAAGCTATACTTAATGAAAGAGGAGAATGTGCTTTTCTTTTAAACAGTCCCTCACCTGCTCCAGCATATCTTTTGCCAGATCTTCTTCTTCATCCATTTTCAAGATGGCCTGCCGTATTTCTTCATTGGATAGCTTCAACCTTTAACAATAGCAACATTGCTCCATTACTTTGATTGTACAAAGAACTTTGACAAATCTGGTAGTTCAGATCAATACTTGGTTGCAAAGACCACCCTTCCATCCACAGAGAGGTTCACAAGTAGAAGCCTGCAAGGCGTATATCTTTCTTCGAAGGCAAAATGATTGATAAATGATACTTGCAGCAACAGTTCACAGCTCTCACCGTATCAGGCTATGGCTAAGGAGGATTATTAAGATATGATGATGGATACTCTGAAAGTCTAATGTATAGGACTTTGCAGGAAAAAGCAACACAAAAAGAAAGTTGGTGCTGGTAGCTGAAGCAGGCACAAGGAACAGAAGAGATTCATACTTTCTCTTGCCTTCTGTATGGCATCATGGTTTTGGAATGGTGAATAAACAAATGTCAATCCTTTCCAGACAGGAAACAGTACTAAGTCTGAGATATTTAACACTGCCCAATATAATCAGCAGCTGGCAATTAAAATATGGAAGTTTACGTTAAAAATAACTTTCTTAACTTAGGCTCCACTCCTCCAAGCTATCCATAAATATAAGAATGAATGTGTGCATTCAGCCAATGTCTGCTGAGTGCTGCCCAAATGCAGGAAACAAGGCGTAGCCTTGTGTCCAAGCTGGGAACATGGCAATGGATCCTATGCTTTGGCATAGCAGTACACTGAGCATCAGATTAAGACTCCACTATTCTTTTATTTTATCACCTCTTCACCTAAACATCAATGAGCACAATTCACATTGAATGGATAATGGCTCCTATTTGTGTGTGGAAAAACGTAAAGCTCCTCCTTCCAACAAGTTTAGCAGAGAAGCCAAAAGCCAGAGAACTCATGGAGAACAAATTACCCTCTTACATCTCAAGAGGCATTCCCTCCAACTCAAATTTCAAACTATTAAACAAGACACTTGGAGAAATTTGCCCTTTTAACTATGGCCACTGGTTCTGTGACCTCATCACATTTTTAGCATCCAAGTCAAACCATTAGGTACCTTTCCACAGGTTTGGTTATCTCAAAGAGAGATTTAAAATGCTCAAAGGAAAAGCAGTAAAATCCAAGAAGAAACTGAAATGTTTGTGTAGCTGGGCTGTGAAACTACTGAGGAACCCTTGGCTCCAGTGACATGTCCTCCTCTCATGGGGAATTTCAGGCACCTATGTATGATGTGACACAACATAGCTTCTTCAAAATCCACAGGGGAATACATGATGACTCCTGCAGGTTTGCTTCAAAGATCACTGCAGACCCTGTTCAACTGCAATCTGTGCGGGACCAGCATGCTGTTGCTCACAGGTCACAGGAACAGCCCAAGAACAGCTTGTAACTCACACCACCACAAATGTGCTATTCACACACAGCTAGAAGCTAGATGAGCCACAGGGCCAAAGGGCTGTTAATCAAGTATTCTCAGTGTGTGTGTGTTTCAAAGCTTTTGACTAACCATGCAGTGGATCTTAAAATAGCCAACAGTAACATAAACCAGATGTGTTGCTTTTTAAGCAAAAACAGGTGAACTGGCTGAACAGAAAGCTAAAGCAGATTCTGAAAATCTTTCCACTGAGGGCTGAAGGAAGATGACTACTTGAAATGGGGGAGGGGTGTTGCTGGTTGTAATGCAGACACCACATTAAAATGTGATTACGGCCAGAAGAGACACACTAAATAAGTCATATCTCATTGTGGGATATGTATCATCAGTGAATTTCCTACTGGTCTTATAAGGGCCAAATACAGGTTTTCCCACTGCCATAAAAATTGAAAAACCCCAGACTATATACATAATTCAAGCTCCATCATCTCTATCTCATACTTGTTTACAAAAAAGCAAAGACTATGGAATCATAACCAAGTTAAGCATTTCTGCTGATGACATAAAAAGTAGAAGAGTCCAGTAGGACTGCAGCAGGTGGACACCTATCAACTTTGACCATGAATAAATAGCTTCTGGCAAGGCAAATATTGCTTCCCAAACCAGAAGATGCTTAAAAGCTGGTGGATCCAGCTGTTCAGAAGATATTTCTGAGAACATAGATCTGTTCAGGAGTCCTACTACTGTTCAAGGTATACATGAAAGGGGAGAGGGACCACATACACCAGCTGCATCTTCATTATCCCCTTCCCTGCTGACCCTGCTCCAGAACTTTGTGTATTCAGTGCAAAGGCCTGAAGGGAGAGTCTAAAAGTTTCCAGTTGAACAAGTAGAGAATGGTCTTTAGCGCCTTACATGCACTGAGGTAAGGAGTAGAGCCAGAGAAGACATGGATATATAGTAAATGAGGGCACACTGACCTGCTCTTCCTTCACACTTTCTTTTACATGAGTAAACATAACCCTTGAGTAGGGCTTATGTAATTCCAAGCATTAAGGTCCATACCTTCTTGCTTTCCTCTTCCCTTTTAATTCCTTTTCCCCCCTTTCAATCATGGCTATTACATTACAGGCCTACAGGCAAGGGCTGCATTCACTCTATGTCTAGGTGGCACTTCAAAAAATCTAGATGTTTTATAGTGTTAAACAGTAAGAATGGTTCTTGCTGTTGGTTATCTCTTGCTTTCTTCTGCAAAGAACCCATTGGCTTGCATGGGCCTCCTCCTCTCCATTTATCTTTACAATAGCCCCGAGAGGCAGTTTAGGCTGAGAGTGACTGGCTGGCTTCATGGCTGCATGGAGTCCTGCACCTGGATCTCCCCAGTCCCAGGCTAATAATCTACCTACTACATAAAACTGGCTTTCAGTTAAATAAAAAATCCCTAGCATTAGGATATCATCTTACTTGTATAACAATTATACGGTTACGACTTTAAAAGGTTTGAATGCTGTTTGATCCCTTGGCCTGAATTAGATGAGCAAGCTGGCACCAGACAAATGACAGCCTGCATGAAAGTTCCTGCAGAGTTAAGGCAAATGGCCTCTACAGTATCTGGCCACCCTGAAGCTTTGATTTGATGATCATTATGAAATTAAGGGCACCATCCTCCACACTGATGGGGCAGCGGGGTGCAGGGGGGCATGGGCAGGTTGGAATCCAGCTGCAACCTCAGAAATGCCTCACAATGTCGGAGTTGGGACTCCAGACTTGGAGGGCTCCATTCTTGGTTCTGGCAGTTGGTGTGGTTCTTTCCATGCCTCCTGGGAGCCAAAGACTAACAGCTCCATCCAGGGCCAGTGCGGGGTGGGGGGAGAGCAAGGCAACCCCATCCTCCAAGGATGTGCGGAAGCTTCTCAACCTCTCCTCCTTGCCTGCCATGTAAATGTTTGGAGAGCATAGGGGAGTGTGGAGGCTGCCTTAGCCTCTGCACCCCCTGCTTCCCATTGGATGTCCATAATCTTCCGTGTTCAGAACACTACAGGCAGCTGCAAAGGATGGCACTCTTAGATTATTTATTCCATGGTGTGAAACATGGGAAAGAATAGTTTTGTGGTGAACAGTAGCTGCTTGTTAAAAAAAAAAATAATCCAGGAATGGCAGTTTTGGTAAAACCTTTGTCCCCTTGAATTGCCAAAACAAAACCATTAAATACTTCTGGCAGAATCATAGCGTACCTTGTTTCTACTTTATTAGGCTTAAATGTCCTCAGCATTCCCAAACAAACACACACACCACTGAATGAATCTAGTTTTACTGTATTCACACATGGATGCACACATGCATGCAAAAAATGTACACTATTTGCGGCTATATTATAATTCTCACCCAACAACTTGGGGTAAACTTTAACCCAGCACAACCTTCATTGCAGGATATTTACAGAAGTAGAACTACAATATGATCATGTTTCATTTATGATTGCAAGCTGCCTTAAAGTGCTATTTTTCTTGGTAGCTGGAGAACTGATCAAATAAATCGATAAAGGCAATAATTGTACAGGTCATCATGTAACATGTTCTTTGCTAGACTGCCTCTTCTCAAACAAAGTTGGCTACCTGCACTAAGAGGAAGACTGCAGCTGCTGAAGTAAGTCAGTTGGGAAAAATAGTAGTGTGTGTGTGTGTGTGTCTGTGTGTGTGTCTGTGTCTGTGTGTCTGTGTGTGACATAGAGAAAGAAAGAGTCAGAGAAAGACTTAACTAGCTTTGTTTAAATCTGCAACAGCATCTCTCTGAGGTCCTGTTCTATGAGGACTTGCCTGCATTCAAGTTCCAACAATTCATTTTTGTGTATTCATTAGAACTCCCTAGAGAGCTTTTATAGTAAAACATGAATTTTATTCACCACTTTTTAAACACCTACCCCTAGACAGGTGGGTTCCTGAAGATCATGGAGCTGGGGGCAGTGGGATTTCTTATTTCTTCACCACAATAAGTCATGAAAGAATGAAGAGATTCAAATCTCCAAGTCTGCTGGAAGCCTCACAATTATCAAATTATAGGATACATAGGCCTACCACCCTCCACCCCCCCCCCCCCCGCGCCAATCCCCTTAGGACATATAAATGATCCCTATTGACTACAGACCCTTTCACCACTATTCTCCTAAGACACCTCAGCTGATTTAATGCCAGCAGACATCAAATGGCTTATTGTTTGGCCATCGTATAGAAAGTGGGTTGGGGAAGGGCCATATTACACATATGCCTGGGAAACATGCTGCAAGTTGACATTAAATAGGGCCACTGGTTCAGTTTAAGTTAATACCCAAAACTCCAGCCCAAAAAGCTCACCATTCATCCATCATCTGGCAGGAGAGAACAGCAGCAGCAGCAGCAGCCTGCCTCTCTGCTCCAGCCTTATGCCTGGCTCATCTCCCACAGCAGAGGCAACCATCACACATGCTCACAGGGCCATTCAGTATATGATTATATCAGTTGCAGACCCAGTCAGGATACTCCTGGAAGAGCAATGACTGCCTTCTACTTTTATAATAAACTAACCTGCTCTAGGCAATCAGGATTGACTTGTCTAAATTCATACAAAACGCTGATATCTGATGGAGAGATATCTGATATGCACAGGGTAGGAAGCCTGTGAGGGCTGGGGAAGGCT